TATGATACTTGATTTCAGTTGGAATTGTCGTTTTTCATTTCATTTTCACTGTAAAAATAAAAGTTACACGATGATGTGATTTTTGTTGGGTCTTGTACCAAACCATCTGATTTGCATGTTACACTGGGCCACATTGCGATTTTGACAACATATCAATTAATTGTGCAGTGCTACTTGGCATTTTTGTCACATGTTGCATGTGTTAAACCAATTCTTCATCTTTTGATTGTCCTACCTGAGTCACTGTCACAGGTACAATGGAAGTATGTTACTAACTGACAACAAAATAAAATGTGAGTAACTAATCTGAGCTGCAGCTGTGTTCATAATCTCATCAGTGACTCGTGTACAGATCAACACTATACAACAAGTCAAAGAAACTCTCTGCAGACGACTTCATTAAAAAATTAATCACTTTTAGTTCATCAGCTTAAAGTTCTCTATCAAAACATGTTTCTGCTGCTGGGGAAATAAACTAATTCAGTCTAAAGGTTTTATGGTGTCTGAAGCAGCTGCAACGTTTTTGACCACATGACATATTTGTATTCTGTAACAATTTTCAGAACTAAATTATCACTACATCTAATCAATATCTGACTTGTTCTCTGGTGTCAGTTTCTCCAGTGTCTCAGCTTTTCTGTTTTCTATCACAGTAACTGAACCTCTCTGGCTTTGGACTGTTGGTTGGACAAAACAAGAATATGTGTCCCCCTGGACTCTGAGAGACTGTGATAAACGGTGTTTTGTGATGTTTCATAAATCAAACCATTCCCTGATGAATCAATAAAGATAAACTGATGAGGTTAATAATCGTAAATAACAGCAAAGTAAACAGCTCTGGAGGACAGAGTGGATGGAGCCTGAAGGAACACAAAAACAATGTATAGCGTTTACTGCCTCATATAGCAGCTGCAGACATCCAGAACAAACCAAGAAATCTGCTTTTCACTGCTGGTTTCATTCATCAACATCATTTAACACACACATTAAATAACAGCTCAGAAAAAAAACAGATAACCTGCTGCTTACTGTATGGACCACAACATATCAATAACCAATAGTCCTGATTGATACCCAGCCTCATGTTTGGTTACTACGTGGATGAAGCTGCAGTTGCGGACACATGATGCAGCCATGCGGGCAGTCTGCAGCTGCAGCTCGGCCACCACCTCCACATGCTATGGCCTCCAGTTCCGCCCTGTCTCGCCTCTCACTGGGACCGGTTCACTATTCCAAACACTTAACAAATCACCGTATTTTTACTGCCCAGCTCCGGGGCGATACTCGCCACATGAGTCCGTTTGTTTCACTGTCTGTACGCAGCTAGCCCGCTACTAAAGGTTAGCCTATTAGCTCCGGGACCACGGTGTTCCCCTGCCGCTCTACGCGGCCTTCCCTCACTCCTGCCTGGCCCACTCAGCAGGCGCCCGGCGGGTCGAGCTCCGGGGCCTGGCCGCCATGCACTGAGGCTCGGGGAGGAAAGCAATGGGAAACACGGCGACGGTCCTGCCGGTGTTTGTGTTTGAGGCACACGGCAGAGCTGCCTTACGGAGCGGAGACTCACCCTCTACCGCCGCCGAAGCTACCGTAGGCCCGGTCCCGCTCATCATAGCTGTCGTAGTCCGCCATTACTGCTGCTGTGTGTCGGAGGAGGAGGTCCTACACGTCACACACGGAGCGGGCTTAGGTGCCCGTAGGGCGCCTGACCGGGAACACTGAAACTCTCTTGAAGTTGCTTTGTTAACTTAATTTTAAAGGTTTTATGAATACAAAAGTAGAGATAAAATACAACTTGACTAAATATGAATATTCATTATGAATAAACAACAATGTAGAATACTAAAGAATCTTCCAGGGAGGACGGTTGATTTAAAAGTATAATGTGTAAGATCGTGCTACTTGCTCCACCTCCATAGGGGGCAGCATTTCACCTCTTCTCCCCTGTCCAGTTAATCAAATTGTTGTTTTCCCCATGTTCCTACAATTTATTATGATTATACGAATTATGAATACTTGTAGTACAAACAGTATGCTTTTATCTACCTATAAAAATATGAAAGCAAAGGGAAACTGCATGACACATGGGTGTCTACAGGCTACAGCAGCATGAGGAAGGGATGATGACATCATCACAAAGGCAGAATGAGAAAATAAGGTTTATTGCCAGGTATTTTTTTACTTACAAGATATTTGGCTTGGTGTTTGGTGCAGTATACAATAAACATATTAACAGGAAATAACAATAAAAAGGTAAAGTACTACAGTCAAAAAGATAAATGTACATAGACACACATTAAAAAAAATAAAACTATGGAAAAAACTACGTACATAAGTATGTACATAAAACTCCTGATGAGCAGGATGAGGAAAAGAGCACAGTATAGACAGTAAAGAAAGTTCTGTGCAGGGATAATACTCCAAGGTGTTACTTGTGGTTGTTGATTGATGAGGCCAGACAAGGCAGGTGCTGGTCCATCACTGGGGAGGACTGGACAGAAATTCTGATCCTGATACAGACAACATGTGATAAGACAATTAGTTTAGATCATACAAATTCTTTATATTCAAACATGTTTGGTCTGTTGTGTGTGTATGATAGATAGTGATGATAGATATGAATATGCTAAAATAAATACAGTACTAGGCAGTGGATCCTCAATCCGCTGGTTCTGGATCAAACAGTTTCTTTGACTTATTAGTAAAAAAAAAAAGTTACTGACGCATCTATCTGGACAAAAGCCGCAGGAACAGGCTAAATTCTACTACGTCGCTAAAACGTCTGTTGACATCATCAATAATACATTTATGCCACTTGAAAAGTTTGCCAGTGCGGTTTGTCATTGCACTAAATATACTTTTCGCTATAGACCATCATTAGGTGTTACTCACCGGTCTAAAGGAAAAGTTGCAGCTCGGCATCAAGCCGCGTCTCTTTACTCGCCTGGAGATGTATCCAGCTGTTGGAAGCCACATCAGGATTTACTCGTGTTGTGCTTCTTTGCCATTGAACGTGGTTTCTTGACGGAGCGGTTCTTCGGGATGGAGATAAAGATCGCTTCCTATCTGCGTTTCTATGATGCTCGTCTGCAGCTTTTTTTTTTTGGAGCTGTAGCGTAACTTCAAGCTCAGGAGGAAGCTCTTCTTCTCCGTGGGACTGTGAGCAGACTAGACACTACACTGACTCATACAGCATCTAGTGTGTCTAGATGGTATTACAACACGGCCCGAGTCGGGGCTAGTTGGCTAGCATGCTCGTTTCAGTAGATATCTCTGAAATACAATAGATGGAGGTCTTGGTCATGACATCATCACTGTGGCTCCTTCACATAGCCTACTATTGATAGTGCTAGTTCATTTTTTTGAACATTTTAAACTATAATTCTGGCCAGATCTTACACATTGCACCTTTAAACAAATTTAAAACGCTAAAAATTAACTTGTTAGCCTGTATTAATTAAATACACGCATTGTTACAGAAAGAAAAACGTTTTAAAGTCTATTTATTGATATAAGATTCATTAGTTCTGTTGCAATGTGTGAATTCTTTTATGAAAACAGAAAAGACAAGTGTGAATGCAGAAAGTTCAGCATCTACAGTGCATTCAGAAACCCCTTTTTCACATTTTGTTGTTTCACCCTTATGAACAAATTGTTTAAATTCATTTTCAATCTTCACTCCATACCCCGTAATAACAAATCAAAACCAGAATTTTAGAAACCAATGCAAACTCACTTTGACATAAGTTTTCAGACACTTGCTGTGATACTGTAAATTTAGCTCAAGCTCCTGTATTTCTCTGGATCATCTCTGAGATGTTTCTACACCTCGATTGGAGTCTACCTGTGGTAAAGTCAGCTGATGATTTGGTCATGATTTGGAAAAAACACACCTGTCTATATAAGATCGGATGGCAAAAAACACAAGGAGGAAGGAACTGCTGCAGAGCTCAGAGACAGGATTGTGTCGAGGGTCAAAAATATTTCTGTTGCATTGAATGTTCCTGAGAAGAACAGTGGTCTCCATCATTCTGACATGAAGAAGTCTGGAACAACCAGGACTCTTCTAGAGCTGGACCTGGACTAACAGACACCAGAAAGAGGAGACCAAGAAACTGATGGTCTCTCAGAGCTCCAGAGAAACTTCCAGAAGGACAGCCATTACTGCAGAACTCCACCAATCTGTGTGTCCAAATAGAAGACTCTCATAAGTGAAACCTACATAATTCTCTGGTCTGATGAAACCAAGATTGAACTGTTTGGCTTCAATTTCAAGCATCATGTCTGTATAGATCTGAAGTGGAGCAGAATCACAGATAAATCCCCATGTGATGTGTGTGTGGAGTGTGTGAAGGATTCTCTGCTTCTCCAAAATGAACAGTTGATCTGATGAGGATACATTAACAAACACAAACACCTGACTCCTATAAGAAATGTATTCATCATATATTCAACCTTTTCCAGACACATTCATTAATTTATCAACGAGATATGTATTTAAACTGCTGTTATGATATTTACAATCGTAAATGTATCAAAAATATATAAAACTAGTGAGGGATCTTTGTTGAATCTCTTCATGTGGATGACTTTTAACACAGTCTAGATGACAAAATCCTGGTCTGTTTTCTCAGCAACAGGACAAGGGAGTTGGTAAATTAATGGACCTAACAAGAATCAACGCCAAAGCATTGCAAACATCCGAAAGTGTTTCTAATATTTTGTCCACCAATATTTTCATACTACCACAGAATAACAGAGACACCTTTCAAAGGTACAAAAGGCTGCAGTCCTGTTCACCTGTTGGTCTTGTAGCAAGGAACTCTTTAGGACTTCTACAGTAGGTCTTGTAGAGATCTTTAAGGATTACACACAGTTCTTGTAGAGCGTGCAGAGGTCTCACGGGGGTTTTGTGGATCTGTCAGGGAGGTTGATCAGTCATTTAGATGTGGATGTTGAGGTAGTGGGATGACATCCAGGACAGAGTCCACTTGTGCTTCATCTCAGCAGCTGCCTTTCGTGTCCGTTTCCTCTGGGATCTCCTCCAGGTTTGGTGGGGGGGAGTCCCTCTGCGGTGGTGGTGAAGGTTTAGATCCACGCTGTCGCAGGTCGCTGGAAACTGTGTCCTTACCAGAGGGAATCATGGTTTTCCCCAAAGCCTGGAAGCACAGAACACAGGACTCGAAGCCAAACTCTAACTGAAAGCATAACTGTGTCCCAATTCAGAGGTCTCATCCTTCAGAGGCTGCATTTGAAGACCGATTGCGTCACAGTGGCGCAAGTAGATTGTCCCATTTCATAGGCTCCTTCAAATGAGTCCTTCTTTTCCTAGATAACGAAGGCTCCAACAGCTGTATTCTTCATGGTCCAACCTATCCCGAAGTTCATTGTGCGCCGGCGACGAAAATAATATGTCAGCAAACAACACTGACAGAGAGCCTGAGGATATGACTGTTAAATGTAATATTGGTTTTCAGCTCAGTTCAACAGCTAATGGTACAACTGTTAAACAAAGGGCATTAAAACATCAAGTTTTTGTGGAAAAAAAGTTGTCAAGGTTGTTAGGCGACAGGAGCCATGTTTTGTGAAGCAACGGTAAGGGCTGGTGATGCAAAGAGAAAATCCTCCATAGGCCAGACCATTTCATTTTGTTTTTGCCTTTGTGGTCTGTGACAGCCACAAAGGACCACAACTTCATAGACCGCCTCCTCTGAAGGATTCAGTCCCTGAATTGGGATACAGCTTATGTGTGCTAAGATACACTGTGATGAACTGGACTTGTGCACAATCATTACATATGAAAGTCTGTTAACTTTGATCTGTTCCACCATACCTGGTTCTCAGCCAGTGCCTCTTTAGCCATATAGTGCTCCCTCCTCATCTTCATCTCCACCTCCTCAGGGATGTCAGGGACCATCATGTCAATCAGACGGCCGATGAAAAAGACTACATGCTGAGGAAGAAAGACAGGAAAAACCTTCATCATGTCAAGGCAGAAACTCACCAGGACCTAGACCTGCAGTTTCCTTCACATATTAAATGATCAACACTAAGGCTGCTTCTCAATTAGCAAAAGTCCAAAGCATCTACAATGCTATTTGCAACAGCAGTGAACCAGGAGAAACAGGTGAACCACGAGAACAAGGTGAACCTTTATGTAAACAAACTTAATCTAATGAACCTGATGTAAGAGAGAAACTGACCTCAAAGATGATGACAAAACTAAGTCGTACGGCGAGCAGGTGATAGTACTCAGGTGTGTTTTCACCATTTTCATCCCTGAAACCTCGATACCTGCAGAGAAGAACAGCAACAACCAACAGTTGACATCATGATGCTGACAGTGCACTTCCCCCGCTGTGTTAGGACAATCTCTGTCCCAAACTGTGCTGCGATTGGTACAACCACACAAATAACCACTTTATCACCTATAGTGTTTATGATTGTAAATATTCAAATTAAAGAGAGAGTGATATGACTGACAGAGAGAGAGTTCTATCATTGGATAGCCTGTAGACCTCATACTGCTTCATCAGCAAAATCGGACACATTAGAAACACTGTCAATATAAGGAATATCATTGCCATATGTTCCTGCAGGATGTGTGATGGTGTAGTTACAGTGATGTTACCTACCTGAAGGATATGTGTTGGTGTTGCTATAGTTACGGTGATGTTGCCTACCTGCAGGAGGTGTTTTGGTGTTGCTATAGTTACAGTGATGTTGCCTACCTGCGGGATGTGTGTTGGTGTTGATATAGTTACAGTGATGTTGCTTACCTGCAGGATGTGTGTTGGTGTTGCTGTAGCTACACTGATGTAGCTTACCTGCAGGAGGTGTGTTAGTGTTGTTATATTTACACTGTTGTTGCCTACCAACAGGAGGTGTGTTGGCGTTGCTGTAGTTACAGATGTTGCCTATCTGTAGGATGTGTGTTGCTATAGTTACAGTGATGTTGCCGACCTGTATGACATGTATTGGTGTTGTTATAGTTACAGTAAAGTTGCCTACCCTAAAGATGTGTGTTGGTGTAGTTATAGTTAAAATGATGTTGCCTACCTGTAGGACGTGTGTTGCTGCAGTTACAGTGATGTTGCCTACCTGAAGGATATGTGTTGGTGTTGCTATAGTTACAGTGATGTTGCCTACCTGCAGGAGGTGTGTTGGTGTTGCTATAGTTACAGTGATGTTGCCTAACTGTAGGATGTGTGTTGCTGCAGTTCCAGTGATGTTGCCTTCCTACAGAATATGCATTGGTATAGTTACAGTGATGCTGCTTACCTGCAGGATGTGCGTTGGTGTTTCTATAGTTACTGTGATGTTGTCTACCTGCAGGAGGTGTGTTGGTTTTGCTGTAGTTACAGTGATGTTGCTTACCTGTGGGTGGTGTGTTCGTGTTGCTATAGTTACAGTAATGTTGCCTACCTGCAGGATGTGTGTTGCTATAGTTACAGTGATGTTGCCTACATGCAGGATGTGTGTTGCTATAGTTACAGTGATGTTGCCTACCTGTAGGATGTGTGTTGTTATAGTTACAGTGATGTTGCCTTCCTCCAGGATGTGTGTTGCTATAGTTACTTTGATGTTGTCTACCTGCAGGATGTGTGTTGCTGTAGTTATAGTGATGTTGCCTACCTGCAGGATGTGTGTTACTATAGTTACAGTAGTGTTGCCTACCTGCTGGAGGTGTATTGGTGTTGCTATAGTAACAGTGATTTTGCCTACCTGTAGGATGTGTGTTGCTATAGTTACAGTGATGTTGCCTACCTGCAGGATGTGTAATGCTATAGTTACAGTGCTGTTGCCTACCCGCAGGAGGTGTGTTGGTGTTGCTGTATACAGTGATGTTGCCTACCTGCAGGAGGTGTGTTGGTGTTGCCATAGGAACAGTGATTTTGTCTACCTGCAGGAGGTGTGATGCTGGCTGTAGTTGTGTGGTGATGTTGCCAGAGTGAAGTTGATGAAGCCGCTCAGCGAGCTGTCTCTGGTGTAGCGATAGTAGAGACGGGGCAGGAAGGACGAGGTGAAGGCGATGAGGAAAGCCTAGAAAGTTGAGACTCTGTTAAACAACTCTTTGAGGAGTAGACAAACTGTCCTCACAGAGACAGGCATGCAGGATCACAGTCTTACGTTGCTTAGGACGGCTGTGTGTGTGATGAACTGCAGAATGGGGAGCCAGATGCCGATGTCTTGAGCTCGCTCCACCACCGGACGGCGATACTCAGTCACAAACTTCTGAGCGTCCAGTCGCACCTCCACCCAGTTATTAATTAGAGCAAAGAGAGGAGCAAGAGGACATGCCGCCACGAAGATGGTGATGAAACCAAACTGAATCACTGAGGAGAAAGAGGAGGAGTCAGTGAAGAGTTGTGGACCAGATTTACAGGAACCAAATGCAGGAATATCAGCAGGACTAGACTCACCCATCTCGAGGTACTCACTGAAGAGTCCCTCACAGACCAGCAGCTGGTAGTCTGCCTCCCAGGGAGAGACCTCCTCTTCCTCCTGCTGCTGCTGCTCCTCCCACTGAACCTCCTCTCCTTCCTCCTTCTTGACCTCTCTCAGCCGTGGACTCATCCTCCTCTTCTGCCACCATGTCCTTACCTTCCTGCCAAATAATGAGCTTTCAGTTTCATTCAGAGACGTCTGACATATTCTGTTATACATGTCACATGACTGTGTGTGTGTGTGTGTGTGTGTGTGTGTGTGTGTCTGTGTTTACGGGAAGATGAACTCCTGGATGTTATTGATCAGCTGTTTTCCCACCATGATGACCAGCAGCTCCTGAGCCAGTTCAATAAGACACCCACCTGCTCCACACTGACACACAAGAGCAGAATAAACTTCTGTTGTTGTTCAAACAAATATAAATAAGAAAATGACCTATGACCCATGTCCCCGCCTTAAACATTAATAAGGCAGGAGTGAGTTATTGCATTAATAATACAGAGATTTCTACCAAGTCTATATATTCATTTATCTATGTCCACTGTATCTAGATGGATAGACATTAATATATAAAATAGATAAATATTTATGTCCTTCGTATTATTGTTGATATATTATTTGGGAAGACAAGAGACATTCCACATTTGTTTTAGCCACATTTTTGTAGTTTTTCTGCATACCACTCTACAAAAAGACTACCCTTATAAAGGATTTATGAATGGTTTAATTAAAGAATTTTAAACAAGGAATAAAACAGTTTTCATACATTGATGCAGGCTCACTATTTGGCAAGATCAAGTTAATGCTTACTATTCATTTAACTTACTAATGAATTACTACCATTTATAACAGGTAAAAGGAGCCTTATTGTAAAGTGTAAAACCCATCACCATTTATTAATCAGTTATCAATTATAAATAATAGTTACTCATTAATGAATGATGATGTGTTTTACACTTTACTATAAGGCTTCTTTTACCAATTCTAAATGTTAGCAACTGATAAATAAATGGTTGTAAAATGAGATAATGTAAGATGCAGATGATGGAGGGAGAATCACAGAGATGTGAACAGTGGGACAAAGAATGGAGGAGCAGTTCACCAGGTACCTGTCATGATCTGTGTCTGCTTGTGTTTAGTTTTCTGTCTTGTGTCTATGTTGTCTCGTCACTTCCTGTTTTATTTTGACATTTGACTCTCCTCTCGTTTCAGGTAACTTGCCCTTCCTCCTGGTGTCTCCCGTTGGTCTGATTGTTTTCCCCGCCCTGATTGTTTCCACCTGTTCCCCATTACCTCGTGTATATCTGTCTGCGTTTCCCTTTGTCCTGTGCCAGTTCGTCTTGTTCGCTGTCCATGAACCTCCCCATGCTCCAAGTCATTGTCAATTCAGGTCGTGTACCTTTTTATGTTGTTACTTTGTTTAGTCTCTACTCAAGTTTTGTTACTTTGTTACTTTGTGCTTAGTCACGTTATTTTGTTACTTTGTTGTTTCCTCATCGAGAGATTTTTTTGTTCTCTGGCGTTTGCCGTTTTTTCCTCTCTGAGAGTGATTTTCTGTTGTACTTTGTTAATAAATATCATTTAGTTGAACTTTTGTCTTTTTGAGTCGTGCATTTGGGTCCTGTCCTAGTTCGAGTCTGACAGTACCAGGTTCACCTGTGTTCTAGCTGGAATGTCCTAAGTCCTAAAGAAGAGACCAACCAGCAAAAAGCATCTCCATTTTAATTTCCACTGAGCAGAACAATGTGATCGACAGCTGTGATTAGAATAAGGATGACTGTTAAGAGCATGTCAAGGTCAACAATACTGCCAAGGCCTCAGAGGATGAATCTGGTCATTTGATATGATCATGTGATCTGTCATAATTTGATCTGCCATATGAAACATTTTGACCATTAAGATGCTGACAATGGTTAATTTCTAGTAACTGAACAAGCATGTGATTAAGCAGCAGCTACAAATGTTGATGATGGAGAAAACAAAGAAAGCTCAGTGACTAATGAGACATGAGGCACAACAGTACAGAGAAATGTGGGCTCACTATTTGGCAAGCAACAGGTCACTGATGGCCTTTTTATCTAATGTGTTATAACATTATAAATGATTTATAAAGTGTTAACAAGTTCATGAATAAATTAGTTAAATCCTTTATATGGAGAGTCTTTCAGCAGTGGTGTAAAAAGTTCTTTATCTTCTTTACTTAATTTTATTTCTGGGGGAGTCAATGCTCTGTATTCTTTTATCATCATCATCAGGCCACCAGACAGGGTGACAGACTCACGTCCTCGTTGCGAACTCCAAACAGAGTGTTGAAGTGTCCAGGGTAACCAACAAACCTGAACAGACACAAACCAACAAACAAACAAACATGATCGTCATGCACCATGCTGTTAACACTGTGTGATGTTTTTTTGTCTGCATCAGTGTCTGCTTCTTCATGTTACACAAACTCCAACAATCCAGCCTGACACATCCCAGCTGTGTTTGGCTGCACAGCTTTCTGTATGTATAAGAGTCTGTTTTAACTGACCATCAGAGGGTCAGTTATAACAAACTAACTGACCCATCAGAGGGTTGGTTAGAACAGACTAGTTTGAGTCAGTTAATTTGTTTGAACTTACCCTCTGGTAACTGACAAAATGTCCTGACCTTTGGTTGTAGTTTAATCAGCTTGTTTGAACTTTCAATCAATTTTGAAAGTGAAAACTGAGAATCTGTTACATCACCCACATCATCACATAAAGAAGAAACAAAAAAAAAGCAAGATGAAAAAATAGAATAAGGGGGGAGGTCAGAGAGAAGAGAAAAGGGGGATTTGGGATTAGGTCAATAAAAAGGCCTCTGGTCATGAACCTGTGAGGCCTGCTCTAATTGGCTGGAGCGGTTCTCACCTGCCTTTGAAGAAAGCAATGTAAACTGGAGACGAGTAGAAGTTGACAAACTGGAAGATGAAAACTTTGAGGATGAACATGTCTTCATATTTACTCTGAGTGCGATGCATCTCTGACAGAAACACACAGAGAAATGTCTCAACATCACCTACACAACTGAATACATTAGTACCACAATAATAATACACACAATAAATCCACACTGTACATTTAGACACTGACTCATTTCATCTGCCGAATCCTTCAAGACAAATACTAACTATATAACTGCAATTAAAATCTGATACAATAATGTAATCAGAATTTCCTTTAATTTTTAATATACTATTTAAATAACCTATATATAATATATATATATATATATATATATATATATATATAGAGAGAGAGAGAGAGAGAGATATGTATTCTTTTTATTTTATTATTATTATTTAATTTTTTTTCCAACTAGGTACCCTCTGCAATTATTATCATTATTCCTTTATTCTCTCTTCATATTCTTTTTTAATTCTTAATGTTTTTTGTTGTTTCTCTCTTACGTATTTGTTGTATCCTCTGTTCTGTGTTTGGTCCAATCTATCTCACTATTATTACACTTGTCTTTACTTGTTTTGTAATCACTTAATAAATGAATAAAAAACTAGATCAAAAATAGATCAAACATCACACACACGTTTGTTCAGTGTAATATTGAGTTCAGTACCTTCCACAATATTTTCAGAAACTGCTCACAACATTTTTAGAGCAGACATGAATGCAGCAGAAATGCCTGGAAACAACAGTGCTAAATCTAAAAGTGTTTTTAGGTTCATGGTCTATTGGTAACTTTCCCTAATAATTAAATAATTAATAATTTCAATTAGACAGAAAATCACTAACCTCAACTAAAACACAGAATACAGAATAATTTTTCAACAGAGTACAAGAAAAATATTAATTGACAACAATTTTTCTAAAAAGAAGCAAAATCAAAATCCTCTTTATGTACAAAATGTACATCAACATTATCTGTTATTATCTGTTTAAAGGTCATGTTTCATAAACAAAGAAGTGACTAATAGAAAAATGATATTATGAAAACTGACCAATACAATACAATACAATACAATACATCAATTAAGACCTAAATGTCTAAATTGACTAAAACTCTAAATCAAATGATTTAAATGCGACAGAAATTTCTTAAAAGTCTAAGGCTAAAACTGAGGATGAGGAGGGTGAGGGTGAGGATGTGACTCACCCCAGCGGGTGAGGATGTGGGCCAGTGCGGTGTAAACCCTGGACAACATGAGGATCACCAACAGGTTCAACACTGATCCTGAAATACTGGCTATCCTCTGAGCCTGAACACACACACACACACACACACACACACACACACACACACACACACACACACACACACACACACACACACACGAACCAACTTCGTCATTTTAAGGGCAAGGCCATTTGGCCTTTGATGACACAAACATTTTTAGGGCACAAAGGCCACTGAGTGATTGAGGGCTAAATAAATAAAATGACTTTCTGATAAGAAAAAACAAGAAAGTTTTCGTGGGTGTGACTGTGTCCTGTTGACAGGGACTTGAGCTTGTCAAGTTGTCCTTCATTCAGTTTCTACTGTTCAGAGATCAGTTAAGATTTTGCAGCATTAAACACCAATGTGTATGGAAACTGAACTTGCACATTAAATGTCAAGAGGCAGCAGCAGCAGCAGCAGCAGCAGCAGCAGCAAGTAAACAAGCAAATTATACAAGTTCATCATCTCTGTGTGAAATCTGCAGCAAGTCTGAGAAGTTTGAGACAGAAGATTGTTACAGCAGTAGAGCAGCTCCTTTCAAGAATAACTCAGTACCTATGCCGTGTGTATGGCGGGCAAGAGACAAAGAGAGAGAGAGAGAGAGAGAGCAGTGATGCTGATGACCAGAGCAGAGAGTTAACTAGTTAGGTAGCAGTTAACAGTGCAGTATATGTGCACAACCAACCCAAGCTGCAAGGACTGCTGCAGTGATACTTTCAAAGCTACCACGAGATGCTGACAGTAGCATGGGCACAAAGGCCATGGTGGCCTTAGGGCATACAATTTTCTTTGTGGCATCACGGTCAGAGGGAGGGGCATGGTCATCGTTGCCGCCATGAAATTCCTACCCTGAGTTGTACTCACAGAGAAGCTGAGGAAGTTGTCGTGGGAGTTGTAAATGATGATGGTGAGGATGGTACGATACAGAATGATGGCAATGAGGAACATCAACACCACAGTCATCTGCACACAGGAAACAGGAATGTCGATTTACTGCTACCTCTGAAACATAACGTGTGTCAATATGTTGTTTCATGTCCCAGTCGGCTCTGAATGGGAATCCAGGGGCCCAATGAGACAAGGGGCCCTTTATATGACTTGTTGGGAAGTCCCCCCTTATCTGTGCCCAAGGCCCAGGTGTATGGTCCAGTCAGGCAATGGTCAGTTGACACGCTACTTTCAAAATTAGTTCACCACAGCCATTGTTTAAATTGTCACCCACCCATGGCTGCAATGGAATGTCCCACTGTTAGAGCAGCCAGAGGTTTAAGGGTCAGAGGACAGGAGACTCACCATGATGATGATGACCATGCAGCCAGTCAAAGTTCTGTTGAACCGTTTCTCTTCAGGAAAGTAAGGTTCCTCTGCTCCAGTCACTGGGTTCCTCACGGTCATCGGTGCCATGGCTGTGAACTCTGGGCGAGGTCGCTCCTGTAGAGGATGGTGAGGGTTAGCAGAGGGGTCACAGTTCACTCATTCACAAAACAAGAATCAATCATGACCCCTCAGGGGGGTGCAGGGTGTCTTGATCATCAGGCTAAGAAGCTCTGGTATAAATCATATATTTATGGAAGATAATAGACTATATAAACAGAAACCCTCATTGTGATCCATATTCTACACACATTGGTTCACAGTTTAGAAACCTTTATTATTTCAAGGTGTGAGACAGGTTTAAGACAGGAACCTCGATCTCCTGGAAGTCAGAGCAGTCCCACCGGTGAGACAGAGCTGAACAGGTTCTTTTCCAGTACTCCAGGAAGGTAACGGCCCACAGGGATATGAAGACACTGAGAAACACTGTCCCTCCATTATCAAATAGGACACCTGCCTGAAGAGAGACAGGCAAGTGGTCAAAGTGACATACAGATGGTCAGAGAGAAGAACAGGGGGAGACAGGTACCTTGTAGCTGACACAGATGCTGGAGTAGTTCCAGTAGGAGCAGATGTTACAGATGGGACACATGATGAAGGTGTTTCCACTGTCACACACCTCCTTCCTACATCAAAGGTGATAAACACCGGAAGGTCATGATCTGACATATTAGCTTTTTAGCATTTTAGCATGTTGAATACACACAGTTTATACTTACGCTGGAACATCACTGGCCATGAGCCAAAATCCAAACAGGAAGATCAGAGTCCCCATGATAGACGCCGGTAACAGCCAACCATTGTAGAAACCTACGGTCAGACACAGTTACTATAGAAACCTACTGTCAGATGCAGTTACTATAGAAACCTACAGTTAGATAGTTGTCATAGAAACCTACAGTCACACAGTTACTATGCAGACCTACAGCCTGATGTAGTTACCATCGAAACCTACAGTCAGACAGAGTTACCATAGAAACTTACAGTCAAATACAGTTATGAGAGTTAATGCTAAAACATCTGACAAATAGTAGTAGTTCATTAGTAGTGTTGTTGCTATAGTTACCGAGCCAGGCAAAATAAAGTGCTATCTTCTCTCCAAAGTACTCCCTGATGTGGTCCAGAGGTTGGTAACGTCTCCAGCAAGACCACTGGGCCCAGTAACCATACAGTATCTGTCTCAGTCTCAAACACTCGGGGGGCACTGGGGGGGTCTGCAGCTGAAACCCACCCTGCAAACACACAATATAAGAACAGAATAAGATTGATGCTCAGTTTGGATACCTGAGGGGTCTTATCAAAAACCTTCATGTGCTCATTTAGTGAGAAGAGACAATTAGAGGTCGTGTGTTTATCATCCCTCTCCAGGGAAACCGGAAGTAGAGTGTCCCAGTGGGGTCAAAGTGATCTCAAAGTGATCTCAGACCAGATGTTCTGGAGGAACTGACCTCATGCAGAGGGTAGGCAGCAGTGAAGACCTGCTCACTCAGCAGCCGGTCGATTCCCACCTCCCCCTTCTTCAAGGAACCATATGGAGTCCTGGCCAGAATCTCATACAGCTGGAAGGACAGGACACAGTGACTGCAGGAACGAGCCTACATCCAGTCCTCATGTCACCTCTGGTCCACCTGCTTGTCCACCAGCTACTGTGACCTAATGTGATGATTCTAGCAATTTCCCACTGCTAAGCCAGGCTGACCACTTCATGGCCCTGTTTCAGAGATTAAGGTTAGGGTTAGAAACTGGTTATCAATATTCTCACCTGATTCTGGAGAACACAGTGAACAAGAGTGTTTAGTAACTGAGGGGCTGTTCCTTTCGATCTCTATCAGGTTAAATACGAGTAGAGGGGCACTGGGATGCTTCCAACTTCACATTTCTATCTTGTTAAATTTACCTGTAAGACAGACCTGGGCCCAGAGCTGCGTCTCTTTTAAGGACATTATTTTGATGTTCTCACTCACTGAGCTGAATCACAGCTTCCTCATCACTGAGGTCAACCACAGTTTCAGAGTCAAACTTGTAACAAAGGTGAAGTTTTATCACAGTTTAGAAACTTAATTTGAAATTTTATGCTAGTTTTAGTTACTAAAGACATGTTTGTTAGTAGTTAGTTATTCATCAGTTTTTTAAGTTTTAAGTTTTTTAAGTTTAAGTTTTAAACATAAAGACAGATAGTAGTTAGTTATGTATACAAAGGGTAGTTGGTTCCTTTATATAAATATAAAATATAATTATATAAATATAATATATAAATATTTTTCTTATAGTTTGATGGCAAAGTTCATATGTCAGAGTTTTAGGTGAGTTTTGAAATCAAGATTTATCTAAATATTGAGACTATTCCTTTAAATCTGTATGAGGTTTATTAGACAAAACAGGGGCTCTGAGATGCTGCCCTGAGGGACTCCACAAGATAACTTAAAATAAATTTTAATGTTTATTCTAATTTAATCTAATTAGTAATTTATTTTCCTAATTGTTCTTTTTTTATAAAATCTTTATTGTGATCTTTAAAATGATAACAGATGAAAGTGATTAAATTTTGTTGTAAGTTTTGTTTTGAAAGGGTAATTTTTTCCCCATTGCCTTATTCTTCTGTTTTGTTGACAATGTAATTTAGTATTTAAGGATTTAAGTACTAGTTGGCTGTCCATTTATGTTTTTGGATTTTCTAAAAATTTACATGCAGTTATTTAATTATTTTGTAACATTTATAAACAGCACCAAAATATCAATTATGTATGTGTATATAATAATAATAATAATAATAATAATAATAATAATAACAATAACAACAACAACAACAACAATAATAATAATAATAATAATAATAATAATAATAATAATAATAATAATGATTTCCAGGATCCTGGAAATTATTATTATTATTATTACTATTATCATTATTAGGAATTTACAGACCCATAAATTGTTTCTGTTTTATTCCCCAACTTGAAGACGTAGATGCCAGGAATAAAACTCTTGTGGAGAGATAATTGATACTCCACCAGTATCAATACTTTACTTTTACTTTTGTATTTTTACCTGAGTAGGAATTTGAAAGCAAGACTTTTACTTGTGATGAAGTATTTTATTGTTGTATTTCAGTTGTAATTTGGAAATGTTCAGAAGTTTCCAAAGTTCCCAGAGTAACTGTGTTTGAGTGTTGGTAGGCAGTGTGTGTTTGTATATTATGTGTGTATTTGTAGACAGTGTGTAATTGAGGATGTGTGTTTGTTTGTAGATAGTGTTTGACGAGGAGGCGTTGCCACCGACAGCGTCCATCCGTTGACTGAAACATCCTGGAATCTGAGTTAGTGGGTTTCTATCTCTGAGCCAATCAGAGGAGCCTGTGAGGACCAACCCTCCCTCCAAATTCTGGTCAGACCAGGACCAGGACCAGGACCAGACTGTATGAATTTAGAGTTCACTGGACTGTTTCACTGTGTTGGACTATATCAAAAGATCAGAACATCAGATCAGAACAGATGATTTATATCTGCTCATATTATTCATCTACGACTTTTTTATCACTGTGTAATTAACAAAGTATTGTCTGTATAACAATTATAACTTCAATCATACATAGACAAACAAGTCTGATAAAATAGAAAACTGAATTCACTTTTCTTGTTTGTAAGATCAATCAGAAATAAAGATTGTGGCTCCACGTATCATCTTTTCATTTCATTATTTTACTCAGTCTAGTAAACAAATAATCAAGCCGTTATCTGTTTTTCAATTCTGTGAATTGCTCTATTTTCTATCTTAAATTACCTTAATACGCAGAGGAGAAATGCTGTACGTGACAAAAGAACAGAAAACTGAATTATTTTGGTTGATTTTTCTATGTATGAGATTATCTCATGACGGAAAACAGAAAACACAGTCATTTTCTCCTTTACAACCTGCAGAAAAACCAACAAACAACCCACAACAACAACAACAACAACAACAACAACAACAACAACAACAACAACAACAACAACACACAGCACACTGGCTTTTTTTTTCAGTTTTCAGTTTCAGTTTTTTTCAACTAGTTAATTTCTTAATACAGTTTTTTACAGTTTGAAAAAATGTAAATCCACAAATATAGAATCACATTATTAAGTTTCTGTTTGTTGCCTGAGAGAGGAAGAACCTGATCTCCAGCTTTACTCATGTCTGACAGGAGGCTGGATCACCAACTGGGCAAAGTAGGCAGCAGCCCCAGGGGCCAAAGACCCCCAGGACGACAAAGTCCCCAGACACCCAACAATTGACAACATTTGCCAATTATATATCTGTTCAGTACTCCATTCTGCTTCCTTTACCTAGGTTTTATTAACACAGGTGTGCAGGTGTTGACATACGGAAGAGGATTAGCATCACATGTGAAATTCTTTGCGAATTCCATGCGAATTCTGACTTTAATCTCAAAATTTGAGAAGTCAGGATTCTGAGTAAAAAATTTTTGACAGGTGACGCTAATCCTCTTCCGTATTTGAAAACTGAATGTAAACGTGGACACTCTCCTCACATGTTAAGAATGAGCTCTTTACATGAACCTGCAGTTTGACTTTTAATTTTACACATTCAGAAATAATTCCAGTTTGGGTTATTTGACATGGGCTGCTTCATTTTCTGGAATATTAAATGATTCAAATCAAGACCCATTATTTTATATGAGTGTTTGCCAAGTCACATGTCACACATGTCCACACAGACTCAGAAGAGTCGAGGTTTGTGAACTCACCACCTGGTGTCTCTGAGTCGTCTTGAAAAACGTCTTATGGTTGTCGCTGCCCAGAAACCTGCAGATCAGAGAGGAGAAACTGCTGCTCACAGCGGGAACACAGACTGGATTTAAAGGTTCTGTAAACGATCGTCACTGCCACATTAAATGTTGCTCTAGACAATCAGCATCTCAGACCAAAAAAAATGCTTTGTCGGCCACACCTATGGCTGTTTTGAACATTAGAGCCAACAAAAAACAATCTAAGCACAACCATTAGCCCACGGTAGCATTGTTGTGATATGCTCCACAGCAATGCTGACAATTAGCCAGCAATAGCAACATTTGCAAAACACATTCAACATATGGGTAACTGGAAGTTAGCTAACATCATCATGTAGCCGTCACTAATAAAAACAGACATGTAACATTATGAACCATGAGGTTTCTGACACATGGGGGAGAAGAAAAAACAGTTCTGAGTCCAGCTGGACCCTTTGGCTGCTCATAGGGTTCTCCTCTCAATAAAACAACCAGTACTGGCCCCACAGTCAAACTGGGAGAGAAATTCAGACTTGGACTGATCCACTGGGCTGGGCCACACAAATGACACTGATAGAGCTGGTAAAAATATAAAAAACTTTCTGGATGTTTTGACAGTGAACTGGCCGACCAGGATTTGAGTCGATAGTCCTTGGTCCATTCCACCTGTGCTCTGGTCTCATCTCTTTCCCTGTCTTTTTTTTTTTTTTTTTTTTAGAATTTTTTGTTGGGCTTTTTGTGCCTTAATGGACAGAACAGTAGAGAGATAGGAAATGGGGAGGCAGAGAGAGGGGGAATGACACGCAGGAAAGGGCCGTCCGATGCGGGATTCGAGCCGGGGGCCAGCTGCAGCGAGGACTGTAGCCTCTATATATGGGGCGCCTGCGTAACCCACTGAGCTACGCAACGCCCCATCTCTTTCCTTGTCTGAGGCCTGTTTAGACTAAAGCGTGGTTCCTTCTTCAGTGGAAGAAATTCTGATCAGCGCACTGCACTCACCTCACCTGTGAGCCTGTGTTTTTATAATTGTGGGGAGGACCGACGGTTTAACAGGGGGACTTACATGCACTAACATTCACATGCTACTGGACCGTCTACCAAAACACAGAACAGAGAAACGGATTACAGCACACACAGAGGGGTGTGATTTAAGTCTCTGCTCAGGGCACCATTACTCCACTATATCTTTATATAGAACATAGTTGTTTGCTGCTGTAGTATTATTTAAAATCTGGTTTACAGAAACTTTAATGGTTTTAGACTGGACACTTAAATTGCCTCCCAGCTCTTGTTCTGTCACTGAGTCAAGCGATTACACCTCAACTCACACTGGAACTTGTTTCAAGACTTACACTCTAACTGACACTTCAGATCCTTTCATGTCTCAGATCTTCACCTTTGAACAGAGACAATAAAAAAACTTCAGCTCTTTATGGTAGCTGCCACTTCAACTTCTTTAAGTATTTCAACTGTAATGGTTTCAACTTTAAACACAAATGTTTGAACTACAGTTTTCATCAGGGAACAGAACATTAACGTCACTTTTCGTTCAACATCTTCTATTGATGAAAAACAGTTTTGCAGTAAATCATGTACTCCAAGCTTTACTCTGAACACCTTTTGATAAACGGGTGAAACAAAAGAGCAGTGGCCTGTTTGTGATGTTGCTCACCTCTGCAGCTTGTTGGTCTTGAACTGACAGGTGTAGTAGTCAGGTGGGGTTTTGGGCACATCCTGGGACATGGGGTTGGGGAGGGACAGCTTGGATAGGATCTTTTCAGACCAGATAATAACTGGAGCAGTGACCACCTGAAGGAGAACAGAGGACACAGGGGGACACAGGTGAGGACTGGTCTGTGTCTGGACAGGAGGTCCAGGTGGAGGATGAGGTGTTTTACCTGTAGAGGGACTCTCAGACTGATCTCCTCAGCGTAGTAACAGAGGACGCTCCATGGAGCGCTGAGGAGGGCAAAACAAATCCTCATCTTTGTCTGCAGGACTTCCCTCTGCGGAAAGAGACACAGATGTAACAATTACATCATCTCTGTCCAACAGAAGTTTTTCAGGATTAGTTTGTGACTCTTCATCCTCCACTGCTCAGTTCTGGTCTGGGTCCACCCCTTTTCTCTCTGAATATGCTCTCACTGGGTCACATGATGCATAGACATTATGTTTCTTATGGAGGTTAAACAGACAACACCCAACCTCACACTGTCACCATCCCGTGGGACCACAAAAGCCTCATGCTTTTTTTTTAAAAATATTTTATTTTCAGATTTTCAGTTTAACAAAACAAACATAAACTCACAAAAACATAACTCCATCTCTTCTCTGACCCACCCACTTACAAACTAAGGAAGACCCTACTCAAAAGGAGTAGGTCATTTTCAAAAAAAAAAAAAAAAGACAATGTAGCTTGTCCTGACGACCAATGTGTATCAATTCTGGTAACCTTGTTACATCAGATATGTTCGTTTCTAAGAGTATATGTAATCTTTTCAGGTGGAATACAATTATTCATTTCCAGGCACCATCTAGGAATAGGGAGATGGGAATCCGACTTACACGTCACAGCTATGCACTTCCAGGCTATTGCAAGAAACTTCTTTGGGAGTTTCTTAAATGTGTACTAATGGTTGTAAAGTTCCCTAACAAGCCCCTAAAGGAGTTTTAAATCAAAACGCAACTGGACTTGATTATTTGTCTGGGAAGACGTTTCACCTCTCATCCAAGAGGCTTCATCAGTTCGTGTACGCATCTGACCAGGCTGGGACTGGTCTAACTTACTGGTGTGGAGACCCAAGTATTTAACCTCTTGTGGGCGTTCACAAGGCTGATGATGTCATTGGTTTCTGTTTGACATCATCAATCGACCAATGACATCATCAGCCTTGTTAACGCCCACAAGAGGTTAAATACTTGGGTCTCCACACCAGTTTATCCAGTTTGGACTGTTGGTTGAAGAAAACAGGGCATTTAAAACTTGGACTGTGGGACATTGGGATGGACATTTGAATATTTTATTGACCAATAGACAGTTAATTCATGAAGAACACAACGGTCTGTTGCAGGTCTGTCTAGTCAGACACACTGCAGTTTCCTCTGCAGTCAGCTCCAACACAACCAGCTGCAACACCATAGTTCTGCTTCAGTGTTAATGATCCAGTAGTACAGTGATCTAATATTTAAAGGGTCCGCTCAGCTGCATAAATAAATGTGGATATTTTAAGTCCATGTTGCTGTTAGTATTTGTCTGCTTTAACTTTCAGACACAGTTTAAATGTGTGTGTGTGAATGTTTACTTAAGCAAATTCAGATCATGTGGAGGATCTGATCAGTTTACAATTTCACTCTGCAAACATTCTCATGTTTGTCTTGACGTCTCAGTCTGACCTTAGGACTTCTCTGAGCTCTTTGAGGCTCAGATGTTTTTATATGTGTGCTTGTTTTGCTCACCTGTTCCTGCAGCAGTCCGGCATGTCTCAGTCTGTTCAGAAAATCCTCCCTCCATTTCAGGTGGGTGGGGTTAACACCTGTACTCTCCCTCTGTGAGTTACGAGGCTCCTCCCACACCAACACAAAATCTGTCCAACACGGGCACAGCATTAGAACCAGGTCATCACTGCTGAGACTAATCCATCTGCTATTGGCTGCTCTGTGCTGATGTCACAATACCCTCAGCGAGCACTTTATTAGGAACCCCTGTATGTGGACAAAACCCCTTGTAGATGAGAGAGGTCAGACTCTCTGCAGCTATCACACCTGTCCAAGTATGTTAAAGGTCAGAGGCTACCTGCTGACAGCTCATCAGTGTGCTCCTCCTTACTGTTTGCTCTCTGTCTTCCTGTCCTCTCAGGTGATGTTGACTTAACAGCACCATGTTTGTTTTACTCACCAATTCGAGTTGATCCATCTCTGAACACGTTCCTGTCCTGAGGCTGAACAGGTGCATTCTGGGAAATAATAACAGACTGATTGAGCACAGGTAAAATATTCCACCTGTCAGAGACTGAGGAAATACTCACATACTGCAGAACAAAGCAAGAATTTCCAGAATGAAGAGACTGATTTGACTGAATCGTGAGTTGAATCCTCTCACTTGATTGGCTGAAGATTCTCACCTGTTTTATCTCGATCAAAAATAATACTTTAAGGCTGAATCTGAAAAAGTTCCCTGGTGTGTCTTCAGGATGTTACACTTGTTATTAGTGGTATAACCTCCTTACACAGGCTCCCAGTATGTTTGAGAATGAATTTGAAGATCCCTGTTGACTTTTAAAGCTCTTCACGGCCTCTCTCCATGTTATATACCTGACCTCTGAACAACATGTGAATCAGCTCGTAGCTTCAGGACCTTGGGCAGAGTTCTTTAAAGCCCCTTTTCCACTGGTCAAAAAACCTGCTAAGACCCACAAACATCAGGTTTTTGTCTATAATGGAAAAGGGAACAATCGGTTTTCACACCTGGGTCAAATGACTCTGCAGTAGTTGGGTATTTATCAGCTCTGGATTGATTTCTACTTATTGCCCTCTTGCTGGTGACTTTGCCTTTGGTTTATTTGCACTATAATATTAAGACACTTTGCTTGTTTTAACTCTGCTGCCTTATATGACCTGCAGGGTTTATTCTGCTGCTTTGTGAGAAGCACTTTGTAACCTGGGTGTAGAAAAGTAAAGATTATTATTATTTTAATAACTGACATACAGTATGAGCTGATGTGTTTATTTCTTCACAGATCTCACCAGAACAATCCTTTTTAAAGCATTATGAATGAATGAATGAATTAATGATTGAATGAATGAATGAAATCTTTATTACTGTGTCATGCATATAAACACATGTCGGTGCACAAGACACCTTTAATTCAGTGCTGCAATTACATTTCAACAACTTCAGTCTTTCATAATCAAATCCTCAGACTTTCATTGTCTACAATATAATTTAAAAATGATTGATATCACTCAAATCACTCACATTTTACAGCACAGGAGAATCAGAACAAATTCTGATGTAATAATCCTACTTTCTTTTCTAGGTTTTTGAAGGTTAAACTTAACTTCCCTCTCTTTTAGCTCTGTGTTTGGTCTCCACCAGCTCTACTTTAGCTGCTAAATGTTGCTCTGTGTTCACCAGCTGCTCTCTGACTGAGTCTGTCTGCTGCTTGCTGCTCAGCAGGTAGAGGACGGAGGCTGAAAACAGATATTTCTCAGAAAACAGCTGCAGCTGAAAACAATGCTAGAGTGGAGAGAAAGCATTTTAATGGGGCATTTCTGTTTTTGGTTCAGAGGTCAGAAGGTTGTGTTTTCCCCCCATCATCAGTTTGTGTGTTTTCAGTCTTCACACAGTTAACCAGAGCAGATTTGACTCTTCCTGCTTTTTCACGTCTCCATTGTTGTTAATTAGACTGACGACAATCATGGTGAAGAGAGGAAGAACAAAACAAACATCTACTGTTTAATGCTTCATCACTCAGTCAGTGTTAATCTGTGTGGAGCCGTTCTGTCTCACCTAATCAAACATACTTCCTGTTTCCTGCTGCAGCCACAGTAAAACAAACACTCACAAAGTTTCATTGAAGGACACTGAAGCTGCTGATCTCTGCTCTCACTTCAGATCCTGGACAAACCTTAGGCCATTTTTCTCTTTTGATGGAGCTAGATTAACAGTTTCCCCCTGGTTACAGTCTTTGTGCTAAGATAGGCTAAACATGACCTGGAGGCAGGGTATGTGAGGGGATTTAGACTCAGCTCACTACAGTCAGGACATGAAGTAGATCCTTAAATGAAAGATTCAGTCTGTGATTATTACCTGTGTGTTAGCATCTCTGGTCCCTGGTGTTATTACTGTTCGTCTTATATATTTTTCTTTTAAAAATAAGATTGGTTTTTAAGAAACCATCAATTTCTCCAGTCAATATCTAAATGTACATATGGCTCAGTGCTTCTGTAATTAAAGAATAGAACAAATAAATAATGATTTTTTTAAACAAAACAAGGAATCATTGAATTTTCTTGTTCAAATAAATTTTATCTGAATTTTTGACTCAACCAGAAGCTGAAATCACTGTGATGTTCTCTCCACAATGGAAATCAAACAGGTGCCTGATGATGTGCGCTATAGTTAGCCTCTACCCAGTGCCTGAATATGAGGGATTCAGGGAACATCTGTAAAATGTAGCATCTGCAAATAGTGTAGTGGGTGTGGGAACACAGTTTGTACAGACAGAGAGTTGTCAGTCATCAATCTGGAGGAATTTTTTGCTTCATTTACTTCCACTGCTGCAGGACAGATGGAACTTTACCTATTTCTTTATCCCTGTTTCCTATCACATTTACAGGATTTTTCAGTTTTTGATGATCTAAACGTTTCTTTTTAGGCAGTTTACCGCTGACCTTTGTACTATTGAACTTGTACTTGTTTTTCACTGGACATGAGCTGAAATTTCAATAGCAACTGGAAAAATGGGGAGGTTCAGTGGTGTAAATATGATGTAATTATGGGGTATGGTATACTACTATTACCACTGTAATGTTACTTTGCTTTTATGACATTAAATCATCACATTTAAAAAGGGCTCCTGTTCCCCAGTGTTTACATAAAGGCTATAGATTACTGTGGAGAGAATTAATCTTTTCTCTGAGACTGAACTGAATGTCTTCTCATCCATAAAAGGTTTGATGAAAAGAGCAAAGGCTCGAGGACGCTCCCCTGAGGGACTCCATTCTCTGACTTCATATTTCTCCTTCTCTTCTTCTCTTCTTCTCTTCTTCTCTCCCTCTCGAGGGCTAATTGTCAGACTGATTTATCAGTTTCTTATTGATCAGGTCAAATTCAGAAAGCTGTTACCATGTTAATGCTGCCATAGTTGTTCTCTGGCTTGGTTTCCATGTCAATGAGTGTGGTGCTGTCCTCCCTCAGCTCCCTTCTCGTCCTCATTGTCCCTCACCTTGTTCTCCTTCCTCCCCTTGAAGAACCACACACACACACGCACGCACGCACGCACGCACGCACGCACACACACACACACACACACACACACACACACACACACACACACACACATATATTGATAGATAGATAGATACTTTATTTATCCCCTAGGGGAAATTCATGTATCCATTAGCTGATAATTAATAATAATAATAATAATAATAATAATAAAAACAGTTAATAATAAAATAAGTATTATAAGTATAATGTGGCCGTGAGCTGTGAGAACATGTTCTTTTATGGGTTTATGAATATCCACAGGAGAAGACACATAGATAACATAATAATAAACATTTAGATCGGATTTCAACTACATTATTATCAGTTAGAAACCAGAGCGATGCTCTTACAGCTTGCAGCTACATTACACTCTGTTATAAAGTGACTATTAATTGTTTGATTATACAGGATCAATAGAAGGGGTTAAAGTAAAGTGTTAGCTTTTTTTAGAAATGAATTGATGTGTGAGTCATTTAAAAAGATTATGGTAATTAGATATTGACAACAGGGCAAACTGAGACAATGTGTTCAATCAGTGCAATAAATGAATTCCATTCATTATTTTTTATGGATAACCATCAGCACTCACTGTGGCATCAACTAAAAACATTAATAAATATTTGTCTTTCTGTGTAAATTACAGCAGAATACAATTCAGGAAATATAATGAATTCATTTAAATTCAGTTTGAATAAATAAGCAACTGTTTGTTTTTACTTTGGTTAAATTGATTTCCGTGTTTTTTCTTTTTCTTTTCTTTTTTTTCTTTCTTTTTTTTTTTTTTTACAGAAAGCAAAACTCCATAAGTAATTCATGAATATGGCTGTATTTTCTGTATGATCAGTCCACAGTAACTAAGTCATCACTCATTAGACAGAAATATTATTAATAATAAACCGGACCTAGCTACAGAGGCTTTAAAAGAGAAACAGACATGAAGTTAACTTTAGGAGACAGACTGGAACACAATAACCACCTGATAAAAACAGATATTAACAACATAAAACAGTATTTGCAGGCTAGGGTCAGAAGACCTGGGTCACTTTTTGACAAATACCCTGAGACAAATATTAACTGGCAACAGTTGTGTTTCTGTGAGATGGTACAACCCTCCTGAACATCTGCTTAGTGGAACAGCTGCTCTGATATTGATTAACCACTCAACAGTCTAACTGATCGATCGATCACTTCTCTCTGGTGTCATAACCTGGTCTCAGTTTAAATTCCTCAGTCTCTCTAACACTCCTATTATTTCAGTCACTCACCTGTGCGTGCAGACATCGACGGGCTCAGGTGAGACTCTAGCTCGGGACAGAACAGCCGTCTGTGTGTGTGTGTGTGTGTGTGTGTGTGTGTGTATTAAGTTTCCAGTTTAAGACGCTGTAAGCACCGCTCCTACTGTAAGCCCCGCCCCTGCCCCGGCGTCTCCTCTATCATCAAGACAAACACTCCAACACAGAAATGAAGTCAACCCCTCTTTCAACATGGTCAGCATTATTTCTGAAATCCTGTTGTTGGGTTGTGTAGCTGTTAGTATTACAGAAACACACAATGATTCAACAACACAACAAACAACAGCAGTTTGAACACAACAACCTTCATAAAGGTGTATTTTCTTCACATTAAATATTCGGACTGTTTTCAGTTTGTTAATTATTCTGCCACCTGCTGATTACTTAGTAATTACTTAGTACTTAAGTAAATGTACTTAGAACCATAGAGTCATCACACCTACAGGATCCTGTTAAGGACAAAAGTGACAAATGATGAAAAACAACAGATGTGTCTGCCGGAGAGTAGAATAATTGAAAACAGGGTTCAAATTATAGGTGGAAAGTGGGGGGGGATCTGAGCCCCCAGATTAAGACTTGGACCCCTCCAAAAGGGGTTTAAATAATATATCCTTCTTACCTGTAATTGTAAATATAACAATATATTTCCAATATTCATGAATGGAAGAATCTTTTCAGACATCCTTAAAGTGAACCATACCATTTCTTAACCTTGTTATTAGCTGCATATCTTCTCTGCCTGCCTCACTCCCATTCATGGCTCATGCCCTCAATTCTCTGCTCCTGAGTGTTGTACAAGCAAATTGAGACACTGTAGGTAAATGTAAGTAGCAGTAGCTAACTCTCTAGCATGTTTAATACACTTTATTTTCTGAATTAGATTGTGTCAAGTATCTAAGGATGAATGCTAATGTTAACTAGTTTCTGACTTTAGCTTTAAGTTACAGTTTATCTAACTAATGTTAGGTAGTTTCTAACTTGAGCCTAGACTTACCGGAGCGTGTCTATGTTCCCACAGCCCTATGTTAAGAAATATGGGACCATAGGGTTTCCTTTTGAGAAAAATCTTAGGCCTTGTCAACATTAACCCGGGGAAATATAACAATGCACATTCACAATGAAAACGATCTCCATCCACACTAATCGTTTTCAGAACGCTTTGCATCCACGTTCCACGCCGTCTTTACATTTATCCACCTCAGCGATCGCTTTTGTAAAGCATCGTTTTCAGTTTCGGAATTCACCGTTCTAATGTGGACGGAAGGGCTGACCGGATAAATATTACCCGGGTTAGTGTGGACATGGGCTTATGGGAACATATAAGACTGTGGGAAAATAGGGCCTAATTTTCAAAACATTCTTAGAAATGTGGGAACATAGGGCTGACCCCAGACTTACAGTGTACCAAACTAATATTAGCTGGTTTCTAACTTTACCTTAAGTTACAGTTTAGCTAATTAATGTTAGCTAGTTTCTACCTTTAGCCTTAAGTCACAGTGTGCCTAACTAATGTTAGCTAGTTTCTAACTTTAACTTTAAACAAGCAAGATTTTGTAAAGACTACAACACTTCACGGAAGCACCTGCACTGTTCTGGTGTCCCTTTAGCTCTGAAGAAAAAGTTGACCCCCCTGACTGTCATTGTTTAACTCACACTCTAAATGTTAAGAGCCATAGTGTCCACTCTGATTCTTACAGGGTAGATACAGATCACAATTTTACTTTTGATACTTGAAGTACATTTTTGTGAGATTATTTCTGTTCTTTTACTGAAATAACATAAAACTAAATGTAGGACTTTTACTGGGAGTGGAGTATTTTTACCTTTATTTTGAAGTGACATAGACAACACACATTATAAGATTTGTGTGTTTGAATCATTGTCCTTGATGTTTATTATGTTTCTGTAGATCTGCAGCTTTTGTTTCTTTCACATTCTCTGAAAATCAAATCAAACCTCCATCAGACTTCTGACAGCAGCCATCTGCAATGCAGTTCTCTGATTGGACGAGCAAAGCAGTGACGCCCCTTCAGAATAGAGACACGGTGTACAACAAGCTGAGTTTATTCTACATCAGATCTGCTGTCTTCTACTGTACACACGCATTACAGACCCCCCCCCCCCCCCCCCACACACACACACACTTTTGTCTTTCTTCACTTGTGAGGACCCTAATTAATATAATGCATTGTGAAGCTCATCATCCTGACCCACCCCTCCTCACCTAGACCTAGTTTTGACCTGAACCTTAAAACCAGACCTTAACCTTTGCATTGGACCGGCCAAAATATCCTCACCATAGTGGTCCTCACAAAGCTAGAGAGACTACACACACACACACACGCGCGCACACACACACGCACACGCACGCACATAGAGAAACAGAATCATCTTTGGCAGGGATCTGCTTCTTTCTCTACTGGACAAATGACACAGAAGCGGCATGAAATTGGACAGTGATGTCATCAGCAGTCAAAAAGTGCACGCGCGCACGCACACACACACACACACACACACGCACACAGATTGACAGTATACAGTGTGCAGTGTTGTCACAATACCAACTTTAATATCTGAATATTCAGTTTGTGTTTCAGTTGATGAAGTCCAGGGGAACAGGCTGAGAGCTCCACCTTCTGTCAGAGTCAAGTACCCGCTCTGAACAGTAACACTAAAGGGTTGTGGGTAATGAAAGCTGAGGTAACAAGTCTTTAAACTAATGTTACATTTGTACACTGTACTACTGAAACACTCTGTAACTTCTCACACTTCATATTTACTCAGTATTAATTGTTAGATACTTTATTTCTTTAATATAATTATCTGTTTTTCCATATAATATCTGTATTAATAGTCCAGCAGTTTACTGTCGAGGCTCTGATGACAGAGGGAGTCATATGGTCAGAGACATATTTTGTACTTTGGTGAAAGATAAAACAAAAAAAGTTCCACTTTTAGTCACAAACCTATGAATAAAATTATAATTTTTACTCACTATGAAAGACAATACAGGATAAAACCAGAAACATCCCTGAACACCCCATTCTTGTTTTAGTACTCGCATGCCCCTCTCTTGCCTTAGTTCCTGAATGCCCCATCCTCATTTTAATTCCCAAATACCCCACACTGCTTAAAATCTTGACTGCCCCTCATTCATTATAGATCCCAAACACCCAACCATCATTTTAGCCCCTGAAAGCCCCACACTAGTTGTACTTCCTGAAAGCCCCACGTGCGTTTTAGTAGACTAAAGGTCCCACGCTTGTTTTAGTTCGTGAACGCCCCATGCCAATTTTTAATGCTTATCATTTGTGTCCCTGAATGCACCACAACTGCCAGGTCATTATTAGCCTCATATTGTGGGGTCAGATCTCACTCTAATGACAGATGGAGTTGTTCACCTCTGAGACTAATCTGAGGTCAGGTCTGAGGTGTAAAAATAAGACAGATTTGATTTGACTTTAACCAGGATGTTTCATGGGGCTTTGTCATCAGGTCACCTCAGGTAACCTCAAGTCACATCAGGTCACCTCAGGCCTCAGACCTCAAAGTAGCTGATGACTTTTTTTTTTAAGGCTGTAATCTTAAATTTTTAAGGCAACTTTCCAAATTCATTTTTATAGTAAAATCTAACCTTTAAGGCCTTTTCCTGTTCCTCATTGTTGCAAGCACTAATGTCAGTGACAGTAACAGTTGGTTACCATGACAACACTGGCATGGTGGTTAGTGGTTACAGTGAATTAACATGTAGAGTGGTTTGAAGTATATAAGACGACTGACTAAACAACAGCATGGTTCATTCGTACATCACTTACACTGAGAAACTAAATCTGTGAGCTGTCAACACAGATCTCAGGTTGATGGGTATTTATGGGAACAAATAATAGATTGTGACACTAAGGTATTTTGATTGTTTGACTGTTCACATTAAAGTTGATTGAAAGTGAAAAGGCAACATTTTTAATTAAGGTAAACCTGTTAAACTGTAGAGTCATCCATTAACACCCCCTCAGTAATCACATGCCATTAATTTGGCCATAATTCAACAGCAAAACTGCACATCAATGTAAACAGTGCAGTACCTGTACTATAGTTTTGTACATTTTAAGGGACTTTCAGCTCTTTTAAACCCTTTAATCCATAAAGAAAACCCATTAAATTTTCTTAATACAAATACATAAACCTCAAATTTGGGGTTTATGTATTTAAAACCTGAATCCTAAAAAAATATTATTTGCAGCTGAAAATATTTAAGAACCCAAATATAAACCAACCAAACCTAATGTTGTTTTGAAGAGGTTTAGTAAATTAAGGACTGATTAAGGGAATTTCAATGGATTGTTTTTCATGGTGTTGAAATGGTGGTTATGTCATTGGAGAAGGATTAGTTCTCCAATAGCATCTGTCAGTAGAAAAATGATGTATTCAGACTGAGACAGGTGTCTTCACTGAAGTCAACACACGGACTAAGAAAGGCCGAGTGTCCGTAGAGAGCCAAAGTCCTGACATCACATCTGGATTTGGGAACATGAACACAATCTGTCAGTCTTTATGAAGAAATTAAGCATGTTCCTGACAGTGATTTTCCATAAGACCAATCAGCTCCACCACAGCAGAATAAAACCCCTGTGATTTTAAGTCAAACACTGAAAACTGCAGATCCCATCACAACCCTACAGCTCTCTTCTAAAATCAGTTTTTGTACTTGTGATCTGAGATGTGTGAAACCCCCTCCGTGTGTCTGCCCTGGAGTCGCCATGTGTCTAGGGCTTGTGGGAAATGGTGTTTGTTAAAGGCATCTAAAAAAACAGAAACACTGAATAAACAATAATATGAGAAACTACTGCCACTATCTAAACACATGAATCAAGGCACATGGTCTACTGTTGAGAAAGGCTGGATTATCTATTATTAGCAATGTTACAAATGTCAATAGGATTTTGAATTATATTTTCTGGATCAGAACCTGGTTCAGGTTTCACTTTGGCTCTGTGGATTTTACTGAAACAGACCTGTCTCAGTCTAAATCATGTTTTTGTTACTTTGAACTCACTTTTTCATCTTTAAAGTCTTTAAACAGATTTCTCTTACACAGAATAAATGTTATGATCCAGGACTGTGACATGTGGTCAGAGAGTCCTGGACCAGGACTGGGTTTAACTCTGCCCTGGAGCAGGTTTACTCAGTCCTAGATCAACTTTTGTGTGAAAAATGCAGAATAATGTAAATTTTGTCAGAAAAGCCTGTCAGCCAATCAGACGACAGCTTCCTCTGATGATCGGATAATACACACGGCCATGAATAATGATGTAACAGTTCCAATTTGTATGAGGTCATCACAGTGATGTTATCAGAGAGAGAGACGGTTTTACAGTGGTCTTCCGTACGACAGACAACACACACATGCATGCACACCCCCACACATGCACGTGCACACACACACACACACAAACACACATACATATACAGACACACACACACACAGACACACACACACACACACACAAACCAAAGCCCATTTATAATAATAATCAATAACAGTGATAAAGCAGAAATCAGCAACATCGTCCCACATGGCTTCATCATCATCATAATCATCATCATCATCATCATCATCATCATCATCGTCAGTCCTTCATGTGTCTGTGAAGTCCACTGAGTCCTTGCAGTATCCAGACAGGAAGTCAGTCTGACGTCTCCATGAACAGATTTATATGAACTATATGAAACTGAAGATCACACCTGAACCGCCCACAACCAACCCCTACTCATAATTAACAGTCTCAGCTCTTCTAATTAAGACACTAATGAGTCTGTCGATGAAGAAACTCACCTGTTAATCAACTAAATACAGACAAGTTTCCTCATGAACAGACCTGTTAATTTTCAGGCTGTCCTAATTAGCACCCTCCTCCTCCTTCCCCCAGATGTAGTCCTCTTCAGTCTGTCTACCAGACCTCACAGCGCCTCCCAGTGTTCATGGGTGTCCCCGCAGGACAGTTGAAGTGGCGGCTGAAGTCCGGAGAGTTGGCAAGCGTGCCGATCACCCTGTATCTAGGGGGGCTGTGGGGATCAGTCACCAGGCCCTCATGAGCACTCTCTGGTGTTCGAACTGAACACCACACCTGAAAAATACCCAAAAGAGGACAGACGCAGTCAGATGTTGTTTAGTGACTGATGTGTCCTTGCCCAGATGGTAAAAGGCATAAATTCAAATTACATGACATTTGTTACAGAGAGCTAAAGAGAGGGTGTCCTTGTGTTCTAGGGGGTTAAAGACTAGGGAGTTCCTTCCCTCATTTCATCTATCTCTCAGCTTTCAAATAAAGACAAGAAATGTCACAAAGAACAAAAGATAGGTCCAACAAACACATGAAAACCACAGGATGATCGACAGATCAAAAACAAAAAAAATACTGTAGTCCAGTGACTGTCTAGATATACTGTGGCCTTCATTGAGCAATAAAAAGAGAAGCGTAAGATAAAACAATCAAACACTTTCCCCTGATGATAAAAGAAGAATAAAAAGAGCTTGTGATGTGGTACTGATTTCATTTCACAGAGCACTGAGTGACCTAAAGCATTTCATCTACTGTGTGTAACAATATTTGAAGAATGCAGTGCTTCAAGCTTCAAACACTGACTTACAACTAACTAAGAACTATCTTCAGAGACTAGAGGAACCAGGAGTCCTTCAACAGATGGTCTGGTCCCCACAGAGTCCTGATCTCAGCATCATAGAGTCAGTCTGGATCACATGGGGAGACTACTGTACCAAGGAGAACGGGAGCTGGTTTAAAGGCAAATGGGGTTCACAGCAAATACTGGATCTAGCTTTTTTCTCTTTACTGAACTTTGGATGAAGTTCAATGAGAAATAAAAACTATTTATGGCTTTATTTTTGAAAACTTCATCAATCTTCATTTTACATGTATTAACTAAAAGGTATGTGCTGTATACATCTTTAAAACGAAGCAGAGACTGATATATATATATATATTAAGTTATTTGCAAAATTTTTTCTGACTCTGAGTCTGTTTACACAACAGACACATAAATCCCTACACTACATCAGAAGATATAGAACAAGGGTCACTAATGGAAACAGAAGTGGTCCCAGTACAGATCCTTGGGGGATGCCAAATTTTATTGAGAAGGTAACTGCTATGTTTACCTGGGCAAATCCCACAAAGAAGAGCTGGTCATTAGTCAGGTTGACAGCAGGAAGTCTCTTTTCCTCGCCATTTCTCTTGACCCACGATCGATAGGCCTGAAGAAGACAAACATCATTATCATGTGTGCTGATATAAAACATGATGTGATGTTCTGTTACCTCAGACTGACACAGTTCAGAACAGTTCAGTTCATCTTCATGTGACATGTTGGTACTAACATGGTATGCAGCCTTCAGTCCTCCATTGTCAGCGATGTTTTCTCCGAGTGTCTGTTTTCCATTGATGTGTTCTCCGTTGACAGTGTAGCGACTGTATTGATCCACCATACATTCTGTTCTTTGACGAAACGCCTCCACAGATGAGTTCTGCCACCATGGCCTCAAGTTACCTTCTTTATCGTACTCACGACCTGATGGACAGAGGGAGGGATAATTATTCAACCTGGCAGGTTTCTGTATGTACATTACCTCTGAACTAAATGAACTTACTCTTCTCTAAAGTAAAGTTGTTATCACCATAACTTTCTCTCATATATGTTTGAATGCATTCAGATGCACTTTACGGAGGTCATTGTATGTGGGATAAAAAGTTTAAATAAACTTTGTCCACTGGGAGAAAATCACCTTAGTAATCATTTTGAACATTCAAAAAACCACATAAAAACTTATAAACATGTACCACCACCTAGAAAGACAGCAGAAACTGTGACTGTTGCTTAATCAGCAAGCAAACGATATATTATTCTGAATATAACCTTTTTATGATTAAAATACATCCCAACAAAGAGGCTTGGTGCAGTTGAGGTTAGAAAGAAAATCCCAAAGCACAGTTTGTTTTAGCCAGTGAAACAGAGTGGGATCAAGGCCCCACATTAACATCCACAGTCAGAGTGCAGTGAACACATCATAATCCAGACTCACCCTGATCATCGAAGGCGTGAGTGAGCTCGTGACCCATCACTACTCCGATCCCACCAAAGTTCAATGCCCTGAAAACAAACATACATTAAAGTACATGAGTTAAAGGAGTTTCTCCAAACACCTGGAAGGTCCAGAAAGTTCCAGATACTAAGGGTCTAAAGTCCTGCCAGTGTCCCCTAGAGGCTGCAGTCATTAAAATCCAAAAGGTTCATCATGTGGAGCGCAAGAAGGAGATCAGGTACTTTCATCACCATCTATTCTGTTGTTTATGTATCTGTGTGTTTGTATAATAATAATGGAGTCAAGTTCACCCTATCAATGATCTAATATCAGGACATCATATACAATCACTTGACTACTTTAATTGTGCAATAAATCATAAATCACAGACAGACAGACAGGTGCACACACAGACAGGTAGATCTACAGGTAAACAGACTTGGGGTGGTCGTGGGCGTAGAAAGGAGCTTGTAGGATTCCAGCAGGGAAGACGATGCCGTTCTTACTGGGCATGTAGTATGCATTAACTGCAGGAGGAGTCATACTCCACCTAGAGGAGGAGAGGGAACAAGGATAGGAGGAGAGGGGAGAAAACAAGGAGAGCAGGAGAGGGGGAGTAAACAAGGAGAGGAGGAGTTAATTTGTGGTCCTAGCAGTCCATCTGAAAACAGCCCAGGGGTTGTGTTCACAAAGGATCCTCCAGTCCGTCTAAATTAGTTTCCTCTTCTCACCTTTACACAGAGGTGCTGAGAGAAGTCCAACTTATAAGATTTATTTAGATTTACAAATGTATCAGATATCAAAAAATCAAGTCTCTCAAGCTCTGACATTATTTATCATTATGATATCTGGTCATTGTTCTCAGTCTCTCTGTGACTGAGTTTGAAAGAATGTCTAGGTCTAGAGGATCCCTGGTGCTTTCAGGCTTCTTCCATGATAATGAATCAAACTAGAGTTTGAAGCGCATTTGTGTGCAAACCGTGACTCAGGAGTCCTCTGGACCAGAAACCTATCTCAGACTGAAGAGGTAGTTTAACACTGAAAACATTGGGAGCAACTTTTAGCCTCAAGATGTATCGTGAATATGACCACTGATTAGATGTGTGTAATTTTCTGTGACTATTACTGGTCTTTGTGGTGTTGGTACATGTTACTGGTGTTACTGGGCTGTGTCAGAATTACTGGTCTTTGTTGGGAGTCTTCCTCAGCTGGTCAGCCATCACCCGGGCTGAGAAGTTGTAGAAGTTCAACATGTTCTGGAAGAAGCTGTCGTCTGACACTTCATACTGAAACACAACAGAGCTGTTATGAAACGTGTGTGATGGTGTTTAACAGCAGGGGGCAGCAGAGCACCACCTGCTGAACTCACCCAAACATAAACATTAACTTCCTTTACATAAAAATACTCTCCCCTCATTGGCCTGTCTCCCTGCCCTACCTGTCTGCAGGTGAATGCGTGAATATTGACAGCTGTCACTCACCCCATCATAAACGTCATCCAGCTCTTTGGAGTCCAGGATGAATTCTGGGAATCCGATCATATCGTAGATTGCATCTGCCTAACGAGGGACAGACAGAAACAGTTAGTCCAATCACTACCTTTAGCTCTACCTGTCTTCCTGTTCACCTGTGTGTACCTTGTCTTTTGCAGCCTGTCTGGTGTCATGGTCCATCCAGCTGAGTCTGTCCAGAGCTTCTTTAAACGCTGAGCGGATCTCGTTGATCATCTCCTCAGCCTAAGAGAGAGTGAGAGAACACATAGCAGACTGTATCAGATCCAGGACCACTTGTGCTCACATGCTGTAGAAACGAGATCGTTATTTCTGCGGGTGTTAACCATGCAGTGACTCACAATCTCTTTGCTATGTTTGTCAAATGTTGCCTTGACAAAGAGCGCTCCCAGAGCGAATCCCAGAGTGTCATCTGTGTTCCCGATGCAGGTCTGCCAGCGTGGGGTGCAAGACTACAACAAACATAAGCAGTTAGAACAAGGAAGAACTAGCCTGAACCAGTTACAACCAGTTAGAAAGAGGTTGCAAAAGTTAAAGGAGAATGGATGTATTCGGTCACCAATGACAAACCAATGTCAGACAGACCAGTTCCCCATTTGCACCAGCACAGACACATCTTCCTGTGGTCCATGTCCAGTTATGATCAACTAGAACCAGTTTCACCTAATTAGAACAAGCTGCTGTTACATAAAATTAAAACCAATAATAAAGAGTTACAGCCAGTTACAGGTAGTTGCAAACCATTTACAGAGAGCTCCCCATTAACACCTGTACAGGTGGTAGCTTCCTGAGGTCCATAAGAGTAGACCAGTTAGAACCAGTTACAACTCCTTAGAGACAGCTGGAATCGAAAACCAATTTCCCTTCAGCACCAGCACGACATTTCTGAAGTCAGAACCAGTTAGAGCCAGCTACAGCAGGTTTAGTCCAATACCAGTTAGGAGCTGGCAGCAGAGTTGGTAGAGTCCAGGAGTCCAAAACCAGTAACAACCAGCTTGAACACATTAAGAACCAGTTACAGGTATTTGAAACCACCAAGTTCTTTCCAGTTAAAACCTGATACTACCCATTATCACCAGTTAGAGCTGGATATAGCTAAGTGGAACAAGCCAGGTAGATTTAGTTGAAGGTAGCTAGAACCAGTATCCCCCGTAAGCACCTTCCTGGAGTCGAAAACTAGTAAGAGCTAGTTTGAACCACCTGAGCACAAAAGAACCTGTTACCTCCAGTTAATACCAATCAAAGCCAGGAAGTTGAAGACATATTAAAGCCAATTAGAATGAGTTACAACCAGTTAAAGCTGCACCAGTTCACAGTTCCGACAACAGGACCAGGACTCTGAGAACCTGTCAGGGAGGAGGATTACCAACCGTTGTAACTGTACCATTAGTATTTGTAGTATTTGTACCTGCTGTAGTAAGAGAAATAACTGTATGAGTAGTAGTAACGACAGTAACAGTATTTGCATTAACAGTAGTACCAGTAGTAGTAACAACAGCAGTGGCAGCATTAGCAGTAGTGTCCTGTACCTTCTTGGTTCCGTAGAGACTCTCCAGCAGTTTGTCCTGAGCATTCTCAAAGCGTTGATCCAGACTGGCCACACTCTTCTGGACCAATGTCCACATCATGTAGTTATTCAACAGACTTAACAGAGAGACAGATAATGTTCACCATCTTTGCTTAGCCTATGAGCATGCTAACATTTGCTAATTAGCAGTAACCACAAGTCAATTAGTTCTCATTTGTTCTGCAAGTATTTAGCCACAAACCAAAGTTACTACTATAGTTCATGAGATATTTCACTCTGGACCAAAGTGGAGGACAGACTCTACTGTCCACAGGGCCATGCTGCTACTGAGGCTGAAAACTGCCCCAGCAGCAGCAGCCAGAGGAAAGCAGACAGTCTAAAATCTTTCCTCCTCATCTCTAACACCTCACGCTGGTTGGGATGTGGTTCTGATGCAGATAAACAGCTGATGACATTCTCATTATCTATTTATCACTTAGTCTATAAAACAACATAATAACAACACTTGACAGGACAGTCCTTCTCTGAGCTGGGTGGGACCTGGTTCTGATGCAGGCTTATATCAAGTCTACTGAGACTCTGTACAGGATACCGTCTGGGCAAACAAGTGTTTGTGTCTGACCTGCGGTCGGTCTTGTTGATGAGGTCGGACACCTGCTGCAGGTACTCTCTGGCGCACAGGACGACAGGCTCAGTGTCGTTCAGCTCGAGAGGAGCCAGAGAGGATGACAGGTAGTCCAACCAGTCCACGGCCGGAGCCAAGAGCTGAAACAGCAAACAACAACACACATTAAATACATAGAAACAAGACTGGAGACCAGCTACCAGGGAGACCACAGGCTGCAGGGTTCACACAAGGTCAAAGAATATAAGGATGGCTCTAAATACTACAATAACCATAAACCTCAGCTGCTGTTGCTATTGAGAAAAAAGACAGCCAGTTCTGCAGCAGCCAAAAACTGAGACCAGAACTTGACCCAACTGACCTTGATATGAAGTTTAAGATCAAATCTGACGTGAGACCTGCAGGAAAACCCAACTGTGCAGTGGTTTGGGTAATATTCAGAACCCGTCGCAATGGTTACTGAACTGATCCCAAAAGGATCACAATCAGAAAGTGAATGATCCAAGCATTTTATTAAAATGCAATATTGGCAAACTGGGGCAGAAGATTACACTTACACAGAAATGAGAGAATTTGAAGCTTTGTGATTGGATGTTTGTTTGAGAAATGCACCTTGGGAGTTGTAGTTGACTTCTCTCTTTATGTGAACAGGCTTTGATATTAAGACAGTTGTTGATCTTTTGCTCTCATGATTCAATAAGAGAGTTAAACAGTCAGTACCACCAGTAGTTACATAGGTGTCTCACTATGGACCACATGAACCAGTCTGTCCCTTAATCCATTCATCCCTCAGTCTGTCCCTCTGTCTGTCTCTCAGCAGTAATCCTCGGTGTGGGAATAGACTGCATCACCTGCGGGGGAGATGCTGAGATGAAAAACTAATCCCTGCCATCTGCTACAGCTTCATACGGTCAAAAACTAAAAACTAAGATGCTGCAGAGACAAAACACTCCAACATCCACATGTAGGCGGCTTCACCACAGGGTCTCTTTAGTACTGTTCAGGAGCCATCAAGCATTTGAAACTGTTCATACACGGCTAATAAATGTTAAGATCAAGAGTGAACTTTGACTCTCTGCATGTTTCTTGTGTTCACGATTTAATCCCAACAAAACGGTTCCAAACATGAACCTGACTGACTAAGTCCAAACTATGACTGAATGTCCTGTTTTCAATTCATTCCCCTTATTCTTTAGGTTTATTCATTATTCACACAGTTGCGAACATATACATCAGATACAGTTATGGAGCTATTTTGCATCAGTATCTATTAAAACACAGAGGGTGAACTCTGTGTTTTAATAGATACTGTGTTTGTCCTGCAGAGGGCGCTGGATGTGGAGTACGTCATTGGTTTTAGTGAAGATCTGAGTGTGTCAGGCTGTAACTGAAGGACATATCTGTGTTGCTTTGTGACGATAGTGTCTGAGGTGTGACAGACATCAGGGGGTGAAACAGTACTTATACCACAGTAGAAAAATACTTATTTTACTAAAGTAGGAGTACAGAAGTGTTGGCATCAAAATGTTCTTAAAGTATCAAAAGTAAAAGCACTCATCATGAAGAATGGCCTGTTTCAGAATACATGGTATTATATTACTGGATTGTAATGATTGATGCATTAATGCATTCATCACTTATTTAACACTTACTTTATATTGCAGCAGGGCAGATTGAGAGTTTCTCTACAGGGATCAATATGGTCCTGTAGTAAAACATCATCATTTATTTGTTGACTATAGTTTGTATCAGTCTCAGTAACGTGAATCTGCAGAATAGCTGCAGCTGTCAGATCAATGTAGTGCAGTAGAAGAAGTACCACGGATAAAACAGGTCTGCTCCAGTAATCTGTATTCTACTGTTGAATCTGTCTGGTTCTATTTGAGGTTATTTTTTATCTTTGGTTTGACTAATTTTTAAATATATTACCTGTTGTTTTTACATCATATCTTAAAGCCTTAAATTAATCAGCATCTTCCGAAATGCGGGTTTTTGTAGTGTTGTTTATGATACAAATCTGAATATTTTCTCTTTCTTTCTTTCCTTCTTTCTTTCTTTCTATGTGTATGTACATACTGTATTTGGGTAGCCATATCTGGTTTTACATACATTCTAAGCATAAGTAAATATCAAGCATCAACTTTTGAGGCTGGAAAATGAAGCCAACACTGAAGAACCAAAAGCTGCAGTTCCTCTAATGACCACTAGAGTCTGGCTCCAACACTGAGTCAATCCCCACAGACTCACGTGTTAAAATGTCCAACTTTACAGCAGAAATAAACATGTTTACGGCCTGGTACAAAAACAGTTTTGGTCTCTAGAGCTAATTTCCCCCTTCATGACAACTGTTTATATAACTCCCCTGTTTATATTTTATTAAGGCTTAAAGTTATGGAGAATTGTGTCCTCTTTGAGTGACAGGTGGGTGTTGTCACTTACCACTAACTGTCTGCTCTGTGTCACCTCAGCTCACTCAGTCACTGAACATATCCTCTTTGTGGTGTTGGAGCCTTTTGGAGGACTTTTAATGTAAATATGAGACAGATAATTTGACTTGCTTCCCAAATGACCAACAGAACATGAGGAGGTCTGCACTGCTGTTTGTTATTTATAGCCTGTTTGTATGTGTTAGCACTAATTAGCAGGTATCAGTGTCTGCGCTCATCATACCTGACTTGTTAGCCAGCAAATAAATTAGCCTTGGCCACCCAGCTGTGCTAATGATGCTAATGGGAGCGTATGCCTGCCACAGTCATTAAACCGGCATCATGCACCAAAGTCTTATCTCCACACGCCCCTCCTCTTTGACCATTTTTGGATGAGCTGGGAGTTGGGGGTGGAGTCAGACACTGCCAAGATGGCGACAGTGGAGCAGCTCACTCTGAGCATGAAAACTGCTCTTTAGAAACCTGTGGGTGACGTCACAGAGGCTACGTCCGTCTTTATCCAATCATGGATTTAGCCAATCATGAATAAAAGCTTCATGCTGCACAGAGACCTGTGTAAAGTTTACTGAGAACAGTTTAACCTGTGTCTTCAGCTCCACGAACCTTCAGTCATAGTGACTGCACAAATGACTTCACACATGAAGCAGTCATGAAAGTAGAGAAGCTGCTCCACAGTCAGCTGACAGATGTCTCTACTGTCACTCTACCGTCGCTTTACTGGACTCCATGTGTTTGACATAGGAAGGTCACGATTCACCTGCACTGAGAGGTTCTGTATCTGAAGTCTCCTTCATGCTTAGCCACGTTTATATAATAACTGTCGTTTAACCTCTCTCTCTCTCTCTCTCTCTCTCTCTCTCAGAGATGCAGGCACATAGCAACAGCTCATGGCAACAGTCACCATGGTGACCCCAGAAGCATCTGCAGCCCTGAAGGACAGAGAGCTGCAACATAGAGAGACAGCTACAGTAGAACACAGCGTCAGAGCACTGCTCCTCTCTCACAGCTCCTCTCATCATTTTAACAGCTGTTTATCATCCACAATGTTAAATACTGAATCTGTCAGCTGTAACACTGCACACACATTAGACAGTCAATCATACACAATCTGCTGCACACACTCACAGTTCATTAGTACAAACAGTGGTACAAACAGTACAAACTGGTGCTTTCTCCTCCAGCACACTGATGGGAAGTGCTGTGCCATGCGGCTATTATTATACTTATACAGCTATTGTAATGAAGAGTAGGTGCTTGTGTATTAATTTACTGTTATTTTATTACAAAAGTCATAAAGAAATCAAGGGAAGCACATTTAATAAAGCCCTGGGGGTGGGAGTGGATGAACAAGGTTAAAGAGTACCTGCCCGTACGCGACGCTCTAAGAAGTACAGCGAACGCACCCGCAAGGAGGCAGGGATAATCTGATTGATCAACACTATACCCAGCCTTCTGTTGGTTGGGAGATTTTGGCAGGGTTATTGCACAGAAAATCCAAGAGCAGAGATGAAATCCGAGAGCAGAAGTTTTGGGAGCGCAAAGAAACAACCTGAGCACAAGAAGAACACCTGAAGCTTGAGCGTAGGAAATCCGTGCAAGCAACTATATATCTGAGTGCAAGCACACAGTTTGAGCAGGAACAGGAGCAGAGGCTACTTGAGTGCGAGGGCATGGTTTTGAGAGACAATATTACAAAATCTGAATGTGAAATCAATAAATCATGTCCTCAAATTGATAAACCACGCTCTTGAATAAAGATAGGAAAAAACCTCCATAGTCTTGATCACGTTCAGTCCTGACTGTGACCCCTCACACAAAGTACAGGGTCAAATCCAGGCAAGTACTTTTTAACCCACATAAACACATACTCCTCGTACCCACCCAGACTGTTAGCAGACCCTCCCAGGTGTTGTTGCCCTCACCTGTAGTTCAGCAATGGTGACCTTGTGATAGATCTTCTCCTCATCACGGCGCTGGTCCTGTGGGACGGTGATGTTGGCAAGCGCCGTCTCAAACTCCAGGATCTGCTGCATCTGTAGCTGAGTGGAGCTCCTCTCCCCACCGAGCAGCATCCCCAGCTCCACCATGTAGTCCAGGTACGCCGCCAGAACCTGGGACCAGCCGGGCAGGAGTGGGGACACACAAGTAAAACCAGTTTCACAGATTTGTACTAGTAGCTGCCTTCTGATATCATATCTGTAATAATCTTAATAAACCACGACTGGAAAAATTCTCACCTTCTCATTGGCTGTCTTGTTGAGGTAATAGTCCCTGGATGGCAGGAAGAGTCCTGATTGGTCCACCTACAGAGGAGGTCACCAGGTGAATGAAACACCACCTCAGATCATCATATAGCTAACTGCAGCCTAAGGTGATGATCACACACAGATGCTACAGCTGCATCAGCCTCAAAAACACCTGGAACCTTTGGACCAATCAGCTTGGGGCACATGGCAGCCACACATCCAACATGTCAGCTGAGTTGTACCTCAACACAACAGTTTGCATTATGTTAGGTAATGATTACGTTCATAATCAATTTCAAGATTCAGGATTCAACTGATTACTGTTGTAAGACTCAACCAGCCAATCTCTCCTTCCTGAGTTTCAGCTTTGAATAATGATCAGAACAATATGATGTCACAGTAAAGTTGACCTTTGACCTTTTGGACATAAAATGTCATCACTTCAACATTTAATCCTTTTAGACATTTGTGTTTAATTGTGTCATAATTACTGTATGAACTGAAACTTGTCATCTAAAACTTGTGATTTCAATTTATGGACAAAAACATGTTTTGTGAGGTCACAGCAACCTTGACCTTTGACCTTTGACCTTTGACCACCAAACTGTACTCAGTTCATCCTTTAGTCCACGCGAATGTCTGGGCCAAATTAGAAGAAAATCCCTCAAAATAGTGCTGTACTCCAGAAGATGTGCTGAAATGTGCCATTATTAGTAAAAATATGAATGAGAACAAATATAAAAGCCGAAATTTCAAAGACAAAACATAAACAAACTATTTGGAGCAAAAATTTAAGTACTATTTTCATGCTTATAGAGGCAATTATTTTTTCAATTAATCAGTCAGTTATCAGAGTCCTTTAAGGACTTGTTGTCCATGTTTGACAGAGACTCTTCTGTTTGCTGATGGTTGCTGGTTTTGTTTCACCGTCTTCTCTCAGTGAGGTTGGTTACAGATAAACTGTGATGAACTTCTGAAGCTAGTTCGATATTTAGTCATAAAGGTTTGGTTGGTTGAATAAAAGTCAACATCTGTCTGTCACCTTCGTACTTTGTTAACCCTCTGTGATCTGATTCTAGGCCTGGCTTACTTCGATGACGTTGCTGTTGGAGTTTTTGGGATCAGCACTGACTCCCACACTGAAGAAAGGATTAGCTCTGTACGGACCCGAAACCACCTTCAGAACCTCCATGAAGTTCTCCTTCTCCCAGGGACCCGTCATGTTCCAGCCGCCGATCTAAAGAGAGAGTTCAGAGAGAGTCTGATCCATGAGACCGGCACCTGAGACCAGCAACTAAGCACGAGCAGCTGAGACCATCTTCTGTTAAACACATTTACATCTTTAAAGACAAGGACTCATAAAACTCTACTTGTTTGCTGATGACAGCCTCTTTTTCACAGTGATTTGTTTACTAATATTGACACTCTTAATCTCCTACATCACACTTTCAATTACAATAATGAGATCTCATATCAAATGAGAAGACCCAGACAGAGAGATAGATTCATCTCAGTGGCTCCGTACATCAGGAAATCTTGCGGATCAGAAGATTCGTGTCTCACTGTAAAAAAAACTCTATCGTCCTGATCATGTAAGTTTTTAAAAACCATGGCCTTAAACCATGTGCACCTGAGTGATGCAGTGGCGACAATGTGTATGGCTGGTTACCTTGGCGATGAGGTCTATGAGAGGCTGAGCTCCCAGCTCTTCAATCCTCTGTGTGTTGAGACAGGACAGGTAGTAGGACTGGGTCTTCCTCTCCGCCTCGCTGCTGCCATTAAAGGTCCCGTTCTCTAAAGAGTAATACAACACATAGTCAGGGACACCTGTCCTGGAAGACCTGGGGACTTTCAATGACCCGAAACAGAAAACCACAAAAGATACTAACTTTAAACTGAGCTGTAAACCTCCTCTCTTTCTACCTTATCATTCATCCCTTGTGTCAACTTTTGTCCAACAGAATTATAAGAAAAGATTCAACTGCTCTGATTCTAAAATAACCTTTACCATATCTTAACACTGAACTTAACACTTCCAGCTGTGGGGCAGGAGGAAAAATTACAGATGTTCAGCTGATCCTGGGCATGTAGCGTCCCAGTCTGGGTCAAACAAAACCAAACAGTGTGTGAAGGTACCCCAACACCTAACCCTAACCCTAACACTAACCAGGGGTGGACAGTAACAAAGTATTATTACTTGTGTACTGTACTTGAGTATATTTTTCAGTATCTGTACTTTGAGTATTTTCTTTTTTGTAAACTTCTGACTTTTATTTCTCTACACTTAAAAGACTACATTTCCACTACATTTCTATGAAGGACTCTTACTTTGAAGCAGCTTTTAGTCAGTGAGTGGATTTTCTTTTATTTTGAAAAATGTGATAGACCATAGGCTGTGTTGATCATAGAGAATCACAACTCCTCCACTGTCAGTCATGTTTGAACCTGTCAGGGTCCTAATGATGGCGACGTTAGATAAAGATGAGGCTGAAGATTCTTCACCATCTGAGGTCTGAGCTCTGTGTTTGAAGCTTTAAAGAAAGATTCATTTAGTTTGAATGTTTGCTGTGTTTACCACGACCAGACTTCATCACTGACTAAAAAAAGAAATATGAAAATGACAATGGCTTCTTTTGTTGATTCGGTTGTTTTTATGGCCATTTCTATATCCTTTGTATCATATTCTACAAGCTTTATGGTATGGAGGTTCTACACGTAAGTCAGTGCAGTGTTTCAGAGTCATGAGGTTCTGTATAGCACTGTGGAAAAATACACAACAACAAACAACAAATACTGCATTATTTTTTAAGTCAAGTACTCCAGTACTTTAACTCAGGTAAAGATCTGACTGAACAACATTCTCTTGTATTGGAGTCACATTTGACCAGGAGGATCTGTGCTCTGCCCACCTGTGACCCCAACAGTAACCCTAGCTGCTACGCTGATTTTAAACATGTTTTTATATCTATGACTGGAACCAGAACATTAACATCAGGTGTGTGTCTGTGTGTGTGTGTGGAATGACTGATGATAATTAACAACAAAACCAGCCACAAACAGAGAAAATGGCAAACAAGTAGGAAAACTACTGAGTGAGAGAGTTGTCATCATCCACATTTACAGCGATTTCTTTCCGTCTTTGCTCTGGATTGAACATAAATGAATGAAATCTCTGAGTTTAATCCTTCAGTCTGTAGCTTCTCCATCTTGACTAAGAAATCTGTTTAGATTGGTGGAAGTCAGTCTCCATGTGTGGGTCATCTAGTCTCTGCAGGTTTTGGTCTGGTCCTCAGGTCTGTCCCCAGCTCAGGGTATGTGGACCATGACTGTATGAAGCCTGAGAGGCAAAACCCAGGGCAGCAAAACTTCATTAAGAACCCGGTTCTGCTCATTTAACTGAGTAAAACCAGCTTAAAGTGATGATGTTAGTGTTGGCCAGTCTCTCTCCACCTCTCCACCCAGCTGTCTTACCCAGCAGGTGTTTGAGCAGCGCCTGGTTCTGCTCCCAGATGCTGTTGAAGGTGGACCAACGCGAGCGCCCATCAGGCAGCGGATTCTTCCTCATCCAGCCTCCGCAGGCAAACTGGTAGAAGTCATGGCAGGGGTCAACGCTGCGGTCCATCGCCTCCACCATCTGACTGGCCACTGTGACGCAAGCCTCTGACAGGCACAGGCCATGCCCACTGTCTGCATGGCATCATGGGAAAAAAAATAGAAGAATAAATAACTGAGGGTGAACCAGAGAGGACAGAAATCTGAAGCTGCAGGAGGCAAGCGAGGGTGAAAGGATAAGAAAGGAAAGGAAAGAGGAGGCAGGAAAAGACAGGAGGAGGTAAAGGACTGAAGGAGGTAGGGAAGGAAAGGAGGAGTTAGATACGGATGGGCGGGGGTAGGAAAGGAAGGGAAAGATAATAAAAGGAATGGGGAGGAAGGGAAGGAAGGGATGGGCTGAGAAGGAAAGGAGGAGGCAGAGAAGAAATAACGATGAAAGTAATGAAGGACATGCAGGGGTAGGAAAGGAAGGGAGAGGGGAGGCTTGGAAGGAAATGTAGAAAAGGAAAGATATTAAATAAAGAGAATGAAAAAGAAGGAAATGGGAGACTGAGATGTATAAAGAAGGTGGAGGTGGAAAGGGTAAAGTGGGGGTAGAAAACGAGGGATGGAAATGAAAGGAAAGGGAAGGAAACAAAAATGCAGGAGATAGGGAAGTAGGGGAGGAGGAAAGGAGGACACAGATAAGTAAGGGGAGAGGTGGAGCGGGCTAAACAGGGGAAGGAAAGGAAGACAAGAAATGGAAGAGGAGGCAAGGAAGAGGAGATGGAAATAAGGATGTAGGGAAGGAAAGGAGGAGGTAAAAAAGGAGAGGTGTGGGTAGGAAAGGGGGAAATGGAGAGGAAAGGGATGGGAGGGAAGGAAAGGAGGAGGTAGTGAAGGGTACACAGGGTTAAGAGGAGGAGGAGGTAGAAAAGGATAGACAAGGGTAGGAAAGAAAAGGAAAGGAAACAGGAAAGAAGGAAGTAGAGAAGGAGAGGAGGAGGCAGGTGTATGTGTGATGTATGCACCTGAACTGAGTCGCAGTCCAAGGACCAGCAGACAGGCCAGCAGGGCCAGCAGGGCAGCCAGGAGCAGGACGGAGAGCAGAACCTCCAGCTGAGTCCTCCTGCCCAGGATGTCCACTCCTCCCTTCCTGAAGCCCACCTGAGACAGAGACCCACAGAGACTCACAAAGACTCACAGAGACCCACAGAGACTCACAGAGACTCACAGAGACTCACAGAGACCCACAGAGACTCACAGAGACTCACAGAGACTCACAAAGACTCACAAAGACTCACAGAGACCCACAGAGACTCACAGAGACTCACAGAGACTCACAGAGACCCACAGAGACTCACAGAGACTCACAGAGACTCACAGAGACTCACAGAGACTCACAAAGACTCACAGAGACCCACAGAGACTCACAGAGACTCACAGAGACTCACAGAGACCCACTGGGACCCACAGAGACTCACAGAGACTCACAGAGACCCACAGAGACTCACAAAGACCCACAGAGACTCACAGAGACCCACAGAGACCCACAGAGACTCACAGAGACTCACACAGACTCACAGAGACCCACAGGGACCCAGAGAGTCTGAATACAAACAACTGGACAAGAACTTTCCCTCTAAACTAAGACCTGATGGGATATATAATCTGAACAGTGTATTCTGGTCTCTGATGTGAACCTGGTCTCTGATGTGAACATGGGTCCAGTCAGCATCCAGGATCCTGGTTCCAGAGGTGGTTCTGTATGAAGAGGTCTATTAGAGATCCAGAAGTCTTAAATCTGTGTGTGTCTAGCTGAAGCTCCTCCTCCTCCTCCTCCTCCACAGAGCCCCCCCTGCTCCTCTCTCTGTGGGTGGTGGACCCACATGGAGGTGGCCCCTTGTTGTGTTTTCAGTCCAAGCCCCCCCAGGTCTGTCTCAAGCCCTGTGACTCTGAGCTGGGATTTAGATCAGTCTGAATTCAGGACTTCACCTGGGACCAGTTAGCCACGGGAGACGGAGCAGACTTCCTGAGGACACCACTCCAGCTCTAAGAGTGAACCTCATGTTCAACTCAGCTGAGTCAGACACACTGTCTCTTCTCTACAACACTGTTGTGTTGATGCAGTGCGTGCGTGTGTGTGTGTGTGGTGTGTGTGTGTGTGTGCGTGTGATGTGTTCACTGACCTCCACTCTGTCAGGAGATGAGGCCGACTCAGCTGGAGCATCAGACACCTCCTCCTCCTCCAATGTAGCTCGCTTATAGCTGGACATCTGCAGACGGAGAGACAGGCAGACAGACAGATAAACAGGCATTCAGTAATGTCCACACTAACACAGAAAACAGTGGATAAATCCAATCTGGGTTGAAAACAGAAAACAGAGCTTTTCATCAACTTCTATAAAAACAGGTGGAGTCAGTGTGACTGCTGGTTCACGTCCGTGGTCAAAAACTTTTTTTCTCATGAAGGTTCAAACTGAGTGAAGTGAGCTGACGTATCTGAGCAGCAGCCATGATAAGAGCTGAGGAAAGGAGCTTCAAGGCTTCCTGTCTTATCTCCTTTAGCAGAGGAAACACTGGACCTTCCTTTACCAAAGGAAAGGAGAAATACCTTCCCATAATACCTTGCTGCAGCAGCATTTAAAGTGATGCACCATCGTAGTTTCACCACGACGGACCCACACACATGTAGAAACAACAGAGCAGCTGTTTTATATTTGTGACACGATCCAGAACTGATGGAACTCCTTGTCTGATTGACTGACTCTTTAAATCCAGTCAGGAGTCATCATGAAGAATAAGCAGATTGAATTTATATCATCATCATCATCATCATCATCATCATCATCATAAGAAACTATACATAAATGTACAAAAAAGTCAAACTCTACATAGTCTTAACTTTCTCTTCTTGTATATTATAATGTAATATTATGCAGGCTCAGTGGCTCTGTGGGTAACAGTGATGGTGTGTCCGCTGGTCGCTGTAATGAGGACTCTGTGATGAGGACACTCATGGTCCCCAGGTGATTCTCTGACCTTTCTTCTGGCGCCACCAGCAGATTCACTTTAGTGATGCAGACTGAACTATCAGCACATTAGTCACTACAGGAGAAAGGTCAAAGTTAATTAATAACCAATCTGATCCATACAGACATGGTTGACTTTGAGTTGGATGTATGATTTGTCTTTGTCCAGGTGTCTGTCCTCCTGCAGCTGTTGCTCTCTCTGGACGGTTTGGATGAGATGTAAAGATGATGTGTGAAGCTGTGCACTTAATTCACTGTTGTGTCTATTGATTGTTGTAGTTTTGTGTATTGATTATGCATTGACTGCTGCCTGTAAGCCAGAGTGGTCCCCTGGGATATTACAGCTTTCCTCTGCTGCAGACGTCTGATATCAGCTCTCACTACAAACAAACACATTGCGAAAGAAATCAACTCTTCTTCTGGGCAGCGAGTGCTTAGATTACAACAGGAAACTGTAATGCCACTGTGGACAAAATAAGATAACTTTGTATCTCAAAACATATGTATGTACATTTAAGACGATGAACTTTAAACTGGGGCATGTTGTATATCATTTATCTGAGTAGCAAACATGTACTCTGATGTGGTGGTTTAATGTGAGACTGAAAAAATAAAATCAGATTTGTTCAGTGACACAAATGTTTTGTTTCCTTTTATCAGGATAAACTGTGGATGAAGCATTTCTTTTCAATATAATGTTGTATTTTTCACTTTTAGGGTTTCATCAAAAGATGCTCATCTCCACGGTAGACCAACCTGACCTCAAGACCGCTACTTAACTTTGTGTTGTTTAATCAGAATTGTTACGTAATATAATAATGTATATTATATTATTATAATGTAACATGTTTAAAATGATTATATAAATAAAACATACTATTCTGTCATAACACCACCATAATATTATACACTATTTTACATTACATTTTATAATATCATATTAGCATATTTTGTCACAAGATTTATTTTTTTATTTTTTTATTTATTTTCTATTACATTCACAGGATATCATATACAATTATTATTATTTCTTTAAAATCATTTTATTTTTATTACACTCTCCCTACAGTTATATTTATATTACATCATTAATGTCCACTGCACTTTCCTGCACCCTCACATAACATACACATCATATTCTTTTCATTTGTACATCTCTATGAAGGTTTATTGTTTTGTTGGAATTTACCTGTGGTGTCACACTTGTTTTTGTTCTGCAACGTCACAAATAAAGAACAAAAAAAAAGAAAGAAGATGCTTGTTATATTTTTCATGCTTGGAAAATATAACAAGCATCATGTGGGATGGATCTACTGTATCATTACACCACTGTACATGAATTTATCTTCATATGTCTATGCCTGCATATTGTACAGATACTAGGTGTACAATGACAATAATCAGCGTGATCACATGTTTTTTCATGACACAGAAACAACAGACTAACAGGCTGTAGTTTTAGGTGGATCAGAGCAGGACTGTAACGTGAAATGAGAGCAGAGCACAGCTCAGCATGAGGAGATATTTAACTGTAATCAAATAAATCTCCACTTCCTCTGTTTACACTCAGCTCCTCTCTCTCTGTACTTCAGTCTCTGTGTCTCTCCACCACTCATTGTATGTGCAGAGAGAAACACATGCTGATCCTGGATCAGTCTCACAAACAGTGCAAGTTTTACAAACTTAAACCCCTCACATCATTTCACCATCATTAATACCTCATGCACTGCATTTGGTTACCATGGGAACCACTGCTGTGCAGAGCAGTGCAGCCACTAATGCTGCTGCAGCTGTTAGCATGGGAGCACTGCAGCTCTACTGAAGGGAGGCTGACAGATGATGATGTCGGCTGGTCTCCACAAAAAAGATTCAATGGATAGTCCTGATCCCAACATGATGGATCCTAATGACTCTGGTGACCTCTTGACCTTTCATCTGCTTCCTTCAATCTACACTATATGGCCCAAAACTATATGTAAACCCCTTTCTACATACTACACTGTACTTTTGGTCTGGTACTAGTTTTCTTACACAGCCCCTTCAAGCCCTAACAGATGTTTTTATCATGTTGTTAAAATAAAAATAATGTTTTCTCTCTCAGTTCTGATAAAGGGAAATCTTCCTGCTCCAGTATGCATTTTCCAGTATGCCACAATGGCGGCATACTGGGAACCCCTAACCCTAACCCTTCCTGTTTTAGTGTACTTAAGATCACTTAAATAAAGTCTCAGATGTGTCCAAAACACTCACTAGACTGAGCAGTAGATTGAGGCAAAACCTACAAAAGACTGAGAAAAGTCCAAGTCAAAACACCATGAGTCACAGACGACTTAAAAACACCCACAAATTTGTCAAAATACCTGCGAGCCGGGGATAAGTCTATGTGAAAACACACACGTGTCAGGGTCAAAACACACGAGTCTGAGACAATACACAGACTATTCAGAATCAAAACACACGACAAGTCAGAAACAAAACACACACGAGTCAGAGTCAAAACATACACGACGTGTCAGAGTGAAAATACACGAGTCAAATTCATAACAAACGACGAGTCAGAGTCAAAACACACGACGAGTTTAAGATTGAAATGTGCAGGTTTTGGTTGTGAACACTGTTGGTTGGACCTGGTAATAAATCTACCATAGTTTCTGTTACTATGCTTTTCAGAAACATCTTTTCAGTTTAAGAAGCTCATTAAGATGGTTTCTACCATCATTTAAACCTCAGGAAGCTCTTTGAAAACCAGGTCCTGGTCTGACACAGCAGTAGCAGCAGATCTGTCTCAGTGTCAGTCCTGGTCAGGAGGGTGGAATCGTCTTCCTGTCTGTGCTCTGAGTCTCTGCAGAGTCTCAGTGTCCTTCTGCTGCTGCCTGATGTCCTGCAGGAAACTAAAGGTTTCCAACTGTTTCCTTCCTTAACACCCTCACTGAAACCTGTCTGTCTGCCTCTCTCTCTCCCCCTGTCTTTGTATGTGTCTCTCGCCCGGCTCTGTTCTCTTTAATTGATGACGCACACAGAGGGGGAGAGAGGGAGGAGTGGGCAAGTGAGGTTGCTAGGAGATGGGAGTGTGTGTTATATCTCTCTGTAGAGGCTGATGTCACTGCGTATGTTTATATGTGTGTGTGTGTGTGTGTGTGTGTGTGTGTGTGTGTGTGTGTGTGTGTAATTAGATAATGTGTGTGAATCATCTCCATTCAGCTCTAATGGAGTTCACTGCAGCTTATATAACATCTGTCTGTCTGTCTGTCTGTCTCTCTGTACTGGCTGTGAAATATGCTCTTTTGTCCCCTCACAGCCTCCGTACTCTAAACACTGACCTCAGACACAAACACTGCTGAGGAAACACTCAGTCAATCATCTGTTCCTCCAGAACAACAGGACAAGATCAGATCTGCTAAGCTAGGTATCCTTAGCCTATCAAAGACTGGAAGCGGGGGGAAGCTGTTAGCCTAGCTCCTCAAAAGACAGACAGATTTCTATTTATACAGCAGCAGAGGTAAACAAACACTATATGAATATATTGAATGTAAACACAAAAAAAAACATAAGGGCACCGCAAAAAAGTAGAGGACACATAACAGACATATACATCCTGTCTGAAGACATCTGACAAGAATTTAAAAGACAGAAAAAATATGACAACACCTGAACAAGTGTAAGGAAATCTGGGAAAAAGTATTTAAGCATCCAGAAAATTCTCCATGAACGTCTGAAAACCAGGATAAAAAATGTGTCATATTAAAGGTGCCCTGTGAGTTTTCTTGCAGACAAACGAAGGTTTGTGTTTACTTTCAGTGTTTTTCATCTAAACTCACTGTGTGTGTCCTTTAAGTCATAAGCAGTTGCAAATTTCCCCAAAAAGATTCAATCCAACATTGTTTCTGAGCTAACAGCCTCCTTCTTCTTCACTGCCTTTGTTGGCGCATTACTGCACATCTCGTTGTGTTACAGCCACCTGTAGAACAGTGTGGAACAGTGTGAAACCTCTGACTGCAGCTGCGTGAGATAAACAAACAGAGACCCACTCATAAAAAAAACTCCACAGGGAACCTTTAAGTAAATAGGAAGAGAAATCAGTGAAAAATAAACGAAAAGGTCAGATTAACAATAAGAGATGAAATGAACAGACAGTCCTCACGGGTCAGTCTGTGCTCGCAGCATCAGTGAGCGTGTGCAGACAAACATCGTCATCTCACATCGAGCTGCAGCAGATGCTCAACATTTACCACCTCAGCCCTCGC